GGTTCTGAGTAATGGCATGTTGAGCTTGTTTACTGTAACTCAACATGTAAATTGGATTTAGTGATGCCAGCTCTGCGATTCATAAGAATGCATTTCAAAGCTCCTCCAGCCCTGACTGCTACTCAGCAGAGCCAGATGACAGTCTGATGACAGGGGCAACACATGCCGCATCTTTACACAGTCAATCAAAACACAGAGATTTACTGACCTGACTGTGGGCTTCATCATGATGGAGACTGCATAAAGATTTATTGTCTTGTGAAAGCGGGGCCAAATATAACCTCGTATATGACCTCAAAGACGGGGGGCGAGGCTGAACTGCCAACGCTGCAGTGATTCACATATCCTCTGGAGGTATGAAAATAGTATCCTTTACACAAACTGTGTAGATATCTTGTAAATTTGTTTGGACACGAGCCTGCAAGACTTTGCTGTGAATTAATAATAATAAAAAAAGGAGCCTTTAAAGGCAAAAACGTGTGACATTTTATTTGTGTTTGTGCACACAACACAGGCACTAAGAGGCATACAGAACATATGAAGGAAGCTTGGAGTAGCAGCTACTCAGAAGCACCACACACCAAAGAGTTTTCTTTTAAGATATCCGTAGACAGTTTTGAATAGATGAGCAGTAGAAAAAAAAAACAACTACAAAACATTTATTTTTAAGCTACAGATTGTGCATGGTTCAGTCTGTAAGCCTGTGCACGTACCTCCCCTGTGTTGGCAGAAGATGTAGCAGCACAATGTTTATGAGAGCTGCTTTTAAAAGGTCATTAAATTATTGGCCGGTCCCACATGTGCTCTCAGAGGTCGCTGGCCCCTTCTACAGTCGTGCTGCTGACTCTAATGGTTTCAGCTACTGAATGTGGTAAGCAAAGAGTTGTGGCTGCTTTTATGACTGCTGGGGGAAAAAAAAAAGAAAAAGGTGCATGTCACTGTTGAGGTCACTAAACAGCCTCCTGTACGTAGTCATTATTAGTTACTTTGAGAGGGGTCAAGAAAAAAATGCAGTCATTTTCTGTCTTCTAATTCAGTAAGTTCAAAGAAAATAACTGCAGCGGTGATCTCAGTCTGTTCACATTACATCCATCAGGAGTCACCAACCAAGTCATACAGTCATAAACTGTGACCCAAGAGCAGAAGTACAAAAAAAAAAAAAAAAAAAAGATTATTATTGGCTCGTTTGTTAATTACATGGTGACATCATCTTGCTCTAGTTCGGCCAAACAAATACATGCAAGCGCTCACAGTTTGTAACATGACCGCCATATTTCTCCTGTTTACGTCGTGATTATAACTGTGTCCTCCAGAAGTTTCATTTGAAGACCGACCTTGTGTCACAGCGGCGTGACTAGGCTGTCTCATTTCGAAGGCTCCTTCAAATGCAGCCGAGAAATGTCGCCCTCTTTTCCCGGGAAACAAAGGATCTACCTGTCCCAAGATTCATTGCTAACCAGTGACGAAACCAAACAGCACCCGACAGAGAGCCCGAGGATTACACTTTTAAATGTAAGTGTTGAGTTTCAGCTCAGTTCATCATCTAACGGTGCAAGTGTTAAAACCTCAAGTTTTTGTGAAAAAAAAAGAAACATGTTATCAAGGTTGCTAGGCGACAGGAGCTGTGCTTTGTGACGTAACAGTAACGGCGGGCACAGCTGGTGATGCAAAGCGTAAATCCTCCGTGGTTCCAGACCGTCTCATTCTGGTTCTGCCCTCTACGGTCTAAGACATCTATGAAGGGCTACACCCTCTTACCGTTGTGTGGCATGTCTCCTGTTGCCTAGCAACCTTGACAACACAATAACTTGAGGTTTTCAGGCCCTGGGTTTTAACAGTTGGGAGTATTGACCTTCCACCAACCGTAACATAAATATCAACGCCTGTTACAAAAAGGCCTTTAACTCTGGACTGCAGATTTAGGTCGGCTACATGCCGTCATTGTCTATCAGCGTATGTGTTGTGATGCAGAACTACAACATCAACCGTTAGATGCAATGATAACAAATAACATTGCAAAAAGTGTTCTAAAAAAACGAACGTTGGATCAACTCTTAAACTAGATTTGACAAAAAAGTCAAAACCACTATAGCAGCTAAAAAAAAGCCAAGCAATAGATCTTTAAGGACCTTTATTGGAGGGCACATTATGAAAGTTTCATACTATTCCCCTCCAGATCTCACCTCCGAACAGCAGGAGGCGCTAGTGTAGCCACAATCAAAGGTGTGATCCCTCACCGGCTTCCCACCTGCACACACCACGTTAAATGTCTGACTGGAAGTAAGTGCTGGTCTGCTACAGGAAAAAAAAAAAAAAAAAAGCATCTTCATAACAATTCAAGACCCTGTTTCAAGTTGTTGAAGTCAAGCCATTTTAACAACAGAGGATTAACAATATATTCACTTTTATTATTAAATTATACATCTATACAATAGATCCTTAATAAAACTGCAGCTATACAAATCATTTAGAAGAAGTACCCACGTGATATTACCCATTGCAATATAACCTAAACACTCTGAGAGGTAATGTATTCATTCTCTGATACTGGAGATCTGCAGACTATCACATCTTGAGACGTACTTAGATTACAAGGACATGCACAGATAAGGTCCGGAGGCTCGAGACCCTATCTTTCGACCAGGCCGCTCTCCTCGTGTCACTTTCAGTCACGTAATCTTGAGCCATGGCAGCGGCGGGGGCTGCAGGAAGGGGGTGATATTGTTTGTCAGTCTTCTCATCCATCAGTTCATCAGCGCATTGGTCCAAAAAAGAAAAAGAAAAAAAAAAAAGAAGAAGAAGGGAATCACAGTCAAATATCTTCACAATTGTTGGTTTGCTTCCCTTGAAATTTTACACAGACATTCAGGAGGAATTATAACGACTTGCCCGACACTTAAAACAAAAACAAATGCTGCTTTCCTCTCATCCTCAGACGAAGCTTTATTTTTTGGGGCTTAACGCTCGTGTTTAGCACTTTAAGCTAAATACAATTGATGTTGACGAAGCGGCTGACCTGAGAGCAGCTGAAGCCAGTGGATAAGGAGCTAAAACTCATCATGTAGAGCTCAGACAAGCTGGTTTTCAAATTTAGGTATATCGCTTTTCCTCTGGCGCCACCGTCAGGTCAGATTTAGCGTTTTTTTTTTTACCTCACTACTAGGACGGATCTAAAAGAAGAAGGTCTCAATTTTATTAACTCATGATTTTTATTGTTTTTGGACGTGTAATGTGCTCTCAGGACCTCTAGGTGGCTCTAGACTTTTTGTCTTGTAAGATGTCTATAAAAAGTCTTCTGCTTGAAATACATAGAAAACACCACTTATCCCTGTAATCCAAATAGTAAATAAATAAACTAATGATGTCAGGTAACACGGCGGCCTTTTCTTCGATTTGCAAAAAACGCTAAACACTGCCGGCTAGCGCACAAACTAAAACTTTCTGAGTTTGGTTTCACATCGGCTCGACACTGTAATAAATACCACAGCCTCACAGTCTGAGTCTCACGCTGCAAAAACACAACGCACGACCTTTTCCTGCCCACTTTGATTGCAATAAAAGAAAATAAAACAATGGCAGAAGAGTCGTGTTGTAACTCGTAAACCCCGCCCCCCCCGGTGATGACTGTATAGATGTACAAGCTCTAAACAACTTGCTGCTGTGATTGCTTCATACTACTGCAAACTGGACTCAACCTGGTTACATTTGTTCCTGCCCCCCAACACTTCCTGTACATACAGCACCAAACAACTGCCTGTTTACCACAGAATCCAAAGATACTTGGGAGCTGCGTTGCTCATATACCAGTATCAGACAGTATATGCAGTGGTTTTTATTCCTGGCTGCCTGCAGAGTTTCAGCGACACTCACAAAGGCAGTTTGGTACATACACCTCTTATTGTACATATTTGTGTAAATTACATTTTTATTTATTTTTTTTTTTAAATTAAATACTATAATCCTCTCCACTAATTTCTTATATCTGCTACTCTCATGGTACAGGTTTTTATGTACTGGAAAAATAATACACAATGAATTAGCACAATTTAAATCAACATAAAAATCCATGATTTCATAGGTCATCCTGTAAATATTGTCTACAACTAAATAAATGGTGCACGAAGCTCGACCTGGAAACCTGGTGTGTATCCAGGAAACAAAAGATTATATTTTTTGGACTTTTGAAGGTTTGTCAGTCTCCATGCTGCGTCAAACAGTGCAGTGGAAAACAACTTCACTTTACTGATGGTCAACTGGCAGATGTTGCGCATGACTGGGAAATTCCCATTTCCTTTTATTCCGTGTGGTGTGGGTTGCAACAACTGAATGACAATAAGCTCCTCTCTATGTAAATGCAACTGCCTCTGTGCAAATCACATGAATAACTGCAAAAATGTTCAAATAAAAACTCGTATGCAAATTAGGCACTCATACAGTATAGGCAGTATTGTCCCCGTTTCTTCTTCTTCTTCTTCTTCTTCTTCTTCTACAACATTCACCACCACTGCAAAAACAAAGACAGCAGCGAAACGCGCGCATATCTTACAGGCCTGGCCTACATTTCCTGACTTGCGAGTACAATTTAGTGAGTCCCCACTGAGACGTGGAAATATTCAGCATTGGAGGGTTTTTAAATCTTTTAAGTTGTGTGCGTTCAGGATGGACAGCAGCTGCACTCACGGTGTCCCCTCTGTCCAACCCCCCCCCCATTTTTGCCAGAACATTCATCTTTTGCTTTACACATTTTGGGACGACAGAAACCACAGCAGCTTGATTCGGACAGTTTCACCAACATCAAATACACTAACAGCTGTAAAGGTTCAGCCACTTGCTTGTACTTGAGCGTTAAGAGAGTGGACTTTTTGCAGTGTTCCTGGGGGACTTCCAGGGCACGGAGATTGTTTTGTTGTTCGAAATGCTGCGGCAGCACATCCACCTGTTAATCCTTTAGAAGAGAGAGGTAAATTTTGCAACTTAGGGCCAAAGGGTGCACGCTGTAGTCAGATGTAGTACTCCTTCATGTTGTCCCTGACTGAGTTGTGGAGGTGCAGCTCTGTCCTGTAGTCTGTGTACATGCTGTGTCTGTGCTCCTCTTTGATGCTGCCGCTGCTCCCGCCGCCGCCGCCGCCGCCGCTCGCCTGGGCCTGCCGCTGCTGGTAGAGGAGGCGGCTCATCACGGCCAGAGCGCACACGGCGATGAAAACCACGGCCGTGACCACACCTGAGAACACACCAGGGAAGATGCATCAGTAGGTGTCAGTGACGCTCTGATCCCGATTTAAACTACTTCCAGTGATGTCAGTGTCAACGCAAAATTGTTACCTTCAAACGCAGAAACGCTGTGTTTAGACACAAAAACACACAAACCTATATCACACAATCAATTTTCAGATCACAGCAACCTCAAATTAGTGAGAGATCATTAAATCAGCATCAACATGTGCTTGCAAACACGTCTTGTTACTCTGACAACACTGCCTAACGGAGAAGCACAACTGGTCGTCACTTCACCACTGGTGCACCGAGCCCGTGTTCTGTGTGGGTGACAATGGAATCGCAATGTTGTCGACTGTTTTCCAGCATCTCACATTATTCATTTATAAAGCTCAACTGTTGAAGCTTCCAATGTTTGTCCCGATCCTCACGTTCGCACTAATACTGGCAGAGCTGGTTTCAGGTACTATGCACCGTTTCAATGGAATGAGCTGCAAACTGCCCTCAAACTAGAGTCTTACATTTCCCTTGGAGATTTTAAATCTATATTATTTGATGTATTTTATGACTATTGTAAATGTTTTTGTCTAATTCTTTCTTTCTTAGTTTCCTGTGTTGTGTAGCCGTGTTGTCGTCGTCGTTGATTGTGTCGTGTGACTGCTTCGTGTTCTCAGGTCTCTCTTGGAAAAGAGATTTTAAATCTCAATGAGACAAATAAAGATTAAGTAAAATAAAAATGACAGAATGTATCTTCTCAGTTTAAGGTGATTCAAACATAATAATGTAAATTATCATTAAAATCATGATCTTTAACAAAGGTACTATGTAGGACTTCTGATAAACATTATGTCTATACAATATTTATGCATTACCTCATGCGATGTGGCTGTTTCATTTTCTATGATGCTAAATGACTCTTAAAATCTGTGCCTATAGTTGGCTTCATACAAACACATCTACACTGTGCACATCACAGTGGATCACACAACATACTAAGATCCACATTATTTTGCAGCTTGAAACTGAAGCACAAATAATAAATGATCCAGACATGAAAGAGGCTTTTATCGAGCTGATATTGATACGTTTAAAAATGCCTTGATCTAATTCTTAATCCTGGAGGACTAGTCTGGAGCCTCCGCTGGTTGCCTGGAAACTGGACCAAAGACATGTTTCTGCACATGACCCCCCCCCTCCTCCCTTCACCCAATCCTCCCCCTGGGAAGACAGGAAAGACAGGAAATTGTTGTTTTTACACTTTGGGTTTTTGTAATTAAAAAAACAAACTGTAAGTTGTTAATCAGTAATGAGTTTCAAAGGCTGCTGTGTCTGCTGTATTTATGCTACGCTAAGCTAACCACCTCCTTGCTCTGGCTTCATATCTACCACACAGATGTCAGTCAGTGTATCTCCTAAAATAACAATGTACAGTCCAGCTTTTATCTAACACATGATGTTACATTAAGGAGAATTACACACTATCTCTAGTCACGATATCACAACAGTAGGTTGAAATTCAAATTATTGGTTGTGTTTTTAATTTAATGACATAAAGTGCAACTGTTTTGCATAGACACTAGTTCATTCATCAGGTGCTCAGGTTGCTTGAAGACCTATAGTCTCCCTTCCCCTGCACCTAACTGAACTGTGTTGATATAAGAGGTTAGACTTAAACTGTCAAACTATTCCTTTACATGACTTCATTGGATCTTTCATCTGTCATCTCTATTGTCAAAACAAAACATTTCAACTGTAGGGAGAAGCAAAACGCAAAACAAGCGCTCCCTGTTAGGGAACCACAGAAATCCTTTAACATTACCATCGTCAACCTAAATGTACCCATACTCAAACGTAATACACGTACATGTATTGAATTTCCACATATGAAATATATGTACATACGAAGTAAAATAATATATGTACATATGTATATGTAACCGATATATGTAAAAATTATATATTGACTATATATATATATATATATATATATCATAGATATATGTATACATAAATATATATCCATCCCAAAGCATATATATATATATATGTTCATATGATACATGTATATATAAAAGATAGACATGTATGTTTAAATTTAATAAGCAATTAACAAGAAAATCATATAAACACATACAGAATTTTAATAGGTATGTTGTTTTGAGAAACTTGCATTTGCTGTGGGTATTTTATAAATGTTATAAACTCGTATCTTCATATATCCAGAGGATGTATATATGTGATAATAATATATCCCCTTATAAGTAACACATACGGCAACATCACTCTCGTCATAGGGGCATATATGTCATATATTACATTTCTGTGTGGGTAATTTCAATTTCAAAACCAAACTGCCTGAGAGCCAATGTAATGATGAAAATGAGCTTCAGCTTGAGACTGAGAACAGAAAAAAAAAAAAAAAAGAAAAAAGAAAAGAAAAAAAGAATTAAGACGGAGGCAAATGGAGAGAATGACAAATAACAAACAGCTGGGACTCATTTTCAATTAACCAAAGAAAAATAAACCAGCACAGAGGAGAGAAAAACAGACCTGCGATCACTGCCAAATCCTTCTGGGTGCCATTGCCACGCGGCTCTTTATCTTTATTGGCTGTTACTGCTTGATCTGGAGGAGCAGAGAAGAGAAAGAGTGAATTCATTAATGTACCCATTATACAGGAGACGCAAGCATGGTGTTAAGATCTCTGGGATCTGTGGTTGCCACCTTTATCAGCGAGGTGTAATTCAATGCACTTCACTGCTGAGCTGTAGAATTACACACAATTATATTACATGATAACCAGATTAAAGTTTAGGTGCAGTTTCTGTCCTCATGCACACCGACGTATCTGCTTTTTCCTCTTCCTCTACCTCTCTGATCGGGTAAATGACTTTTAAATGTCATCGCCATCATCTCATCTCAATATCACTGATTTAAGTTTTCATCCCTGACAGAGACGCCTGGTCATTAGAGCCGGGTCGAGTCTGACCTGCGTTAGACCTCGCTCAGCGGGGAGGAGGAGGCTGATGAGGGAGGGTTAGCTGATGTGTGCTGACCCATTTAACCCCTGTCAAAGTGTCAGACTGAATGGCGCATGAGAGTGAATGAGTCTCCCGGCGTGCGGCTGGCGGTTGCATGTTGCATGACGAGCTGTTTCGTGTAACTGCCAAAGCAATGATGGACAGACTTTCCATTTCCCCGTGGATGAGAGAATCTGAGCTCCACCCAGTGCCTCAGCAGACAGCACCATTAGGAACAGCATATCTAAATAATTGTTTTATATCTATTTTCTATCATTGTCTTGATGTAAATCTGTATATGTTGTGAGAATCTGGCATTGGCTTGATGTCAACGAGGAAACGCCCAGAACCGGTCCGTCCTGTGAGATTCACCGGCTCTGCCTTTGCTTACTATGTTGAAGACTTTACACTTTATTTTGAAGCAGTAGCTGCTGCACCTTATTAAAAAACGCTAAGCATGACTGTGTGGAGACATTGTGTTGCTGCTATCGGCCTGGTGACAGCTCCATTAATAAAAATAGAAATGCATCTGCTCTGTCAGACAGATGACTGAAAACACAACTGACGTGTGTCTGGTTTAGTCACACTGTCATTTGATGAATTCACAAGACGGTAGTTAAAAGTTGTTTCTCAAAACTCTTAACAGTTAAACAGGAAACCAGTTAGTCCTTACAGTGGTTTTTCATTTCCGTTTTCAGATACTTTGGAGCTTAACACCTATCACCTATCTAACAACACCTATCTAACACTTCTCCTGTGTTTTATTTGAAGTGTCGATCCATGAGAAGATATATTTGTGGATTTAAGAACCAAAAACCATCTTAATTTAGTTTTACATCTCCTCTCTCAAGCTTCACTTAAACACTTGGAGAAACCAAATCCTGCAAGGCTTGGATGCTGGGTGTGGGCAGGCGGGGCTTACTGAGTTACAGAGCGATCGCCCTCGCAACAGTCAGCAGCTTGGAGAGCGGACATTAACCAACAGACTAAAGTTTCAGTTTCATTAACATTCATTAGCTACAGCTGATAATAATCTACCGACGGTGACGTTGGTCATTTTTACCAGCGAAAGCAACGGTCAGTATCGTCTATAAATGAGAAGCCGTTAACGTTACCTGCATGTTTTCAACTCTGGTCTTTTGCAAATAAAGGGAGATAAAAGGTTTGATTAGAGATTTGTTAGGTCTAACCCAACCCTAGTACACAGTCCATCTTCTGAAGGTTTCAGCGGTCAAACAAATAACAACAACCTCCGACTAGGGTTAGTCCTGGTGTTGTGTCAAAGCGTGTTCCTCTGTTGATATGTGTTTTCACCTAAGCTTACTAGCAACCTTATTCTAACCCTAACAGTTGTGGGGGACACTACAGTTAACAGAGTTGTAATGGGATGCATGCAGCACGCTCTGTGCACCCTGAATGACAGGCGCACAGAAAAGTAGACAGGGAAGGTAAAAAACTTTATGGATTTTTTGACAGTCCACGATGGTTCCTGAGAGAGAGAGAGAGAGAGAGAGAGAGAGAGGCAAGGAGGAGCTGAGTGAATCAATGTGCTGCCCACATCTCTACAGTGAAATAAGATTTTACTCATTTTAGTAAAAAAAAAAAAAAAAAAAAAAAAATCAATCAATATGTGGCGGTTAATGTTGATATTGAGGCAGGCAGCCACAAATAAATCAATGTGTGGGAAACACTGATAGCTGCAGACTACCTGTCACCTACACCCACACCTGCTGCTTCCTGATCAAAACTCGGTCTGTATGATACGCCTGACGTGTGCAACAGGCATCGGTAAACGCGCAACTCTACGCAGTGCGGTGAGTGGAGTTTCATTCAGCCATCTTTAAGTGCAGCAGTGGAGTATTAAAGGAAGAGAAAGTGAAAACAAAGACCCAAACAGCTAAGCAGCAAAGACAAGCACTTTAAATTTTGGACAGAGAAATTAATTGAAGCTGCAACTATCTCTTTTTTAATAGGGAGCCGGAGTGAAACCGGGACTTCTGGGGTCTGTTCCAGAAGTAAGAAAACCTCATTCAAAATCCCACTGACATTTATAACTATGCTAATAACTGAAACTCCAGCTTTGGAACGAAGCCTTTATCAATAGTATGCTGTGTGATTCACTTCATGTGTTTGTAAAATACTTTTCTGAAAAATGATGTAATATTGCTGTTTATTCAATATTTATGTTTTTAGCAGCCGTTAAAGAACACCATTTCCCATGAGCCCTAGCCCTGCGGGTGAAATACCACGGCTCGACTGAAGAGGTGAGTCCATGAGGGAGTCGAGGGGTCGTTCAAACATGAGAGGACTGAATGATGTAGAAGTTCTTCGACAAGAAATGACTTGAGAAGAGAGTGTTGGTGAATTTTATGTAGATATATGGATGAAACCAAGAGCATTTTTCCACCACATGATACTGACTCAACTCGACTCAACTCTACTCGCTTCTGGTACGAGGTACTTATTTTTCCACTGCAGACAGTACTCTCTGAGTGCAGCGTTGTTGTACTATACTATATTCAATGTGACACACACATTAACAACGGAGGATGTCGAAGGGAAACCAGACTGTGGTGTGGTTTTGCCGGCTGCCATACTAAAAGTATGATACAATGACTAACAGAAATGTAACGACGACCAAAGTACCTGCGCTGCAACACTTGTAGTTTTTTTTCCATGGGAGCTGTAGTTTTTCTCTGTGGTCACAAACTAAATGTTTAACTTTATTAACAGTCATTAAGGTTTGAAGTTCTTACAGCAGCTGCTGCAGTGGAGGCTGATTAGTCCGACAATATGGAGCGTAAACCACAACCACAGGAACACAGATGAAAGAATCAGAGATTGTACTGAGTTACAGAAGATACAGCACAGAAGCTCTATTGCTGATTAACATGTCAGTCCCCCCCCCCACACTCATTCAGTTTATAGATATTTAATGTACAATAATATAAAGAAAGACAGAAAATCTGCACAATTAAGAAGCTGGAGCTAGAAGCTAAACTCCCACATGACTAATCAACTAGCTCATTAGCAAGATGTTTACAGGCCTGAAAAAAAAACCAAACACAACTTTGAATTTGATGGAAAAATTCTTCAATGTTGAGAATATGAACTAAACTAAACCCGGGTTTGTTGCTCAGCATGAAGATCAACCTGGAATCGACTATGTGGTGGTAGTGTGTGTGTGTGTGTGTGTGTGTGTGTGTGTGTGTGTGTGTGTTTTACCTTGCAGAGTGTGTGAAGTGGACTCTGCCAGAGCTCCACAATTTGACTGAACCAGTGGACCGCGGATGGTGACCAGTGAGCTTCCCCGGTTCGTCAGCGCTGCCTTCAGCGGCGCCACGTGATTGAACTGGACCGAGGAGAGGCAGCCAATGAAACCTTTAGAAGCCGCTTGCATCACTTCCTCGTTGAGGTTCTCCCTCCCTACAGAGATACAGTTGAACACGTGAAAATGTACAACGTTGCCGATGGTGACACTGAATTACAGTAATTTCTGAGTGACCAAGTCAAATACGGTGAAATAATGGAAGACAGGAAGTGAAACATGGGCGGGACAGAAATACCACAATAAAGGCATGACATGGGAGTTTTTCAGCAATTCTCTGGACATCATGGGAGCACTTACTGGTGACTTTGCCCAATGTCAAGGATCTGATTAAGATCAACTCTGCATCAGATGACAGCATATACTTTCTGTGGATGTCCTGGTCGATCTGGTTGAGTGGGGAGAAATCAAATAACAAGCCGATTACAAGAAATCTGAACCGAGGAAACACCAGCAGCAGCAGCAGCAGCAGAACATTTCAGTACATTATAGATTGAGACTTGTGTTCTCTGCTGCTTCACACGGCACCATATCCGCCCACAGTTCGCTTTGAAGTGATTTAGACCTTTCACTTCTGCTCTCCCATGCTGACTCAGACACATCACTTAACCTGAGGATCTGCAATTGTTTCTGCAGGATTTTGATTACGTCTACTGACGTCTATGCAGACCCTCTCCACTGTCAAGTGTTTGGATAGCAAGTAGGAAATTCAGCTCTAAGTCCTGTGACTGTATTTTAGTGTTGTGTGGAGATGCTTCACACTGAAATACATTTAAACACTGTTGAAGCATAAATATATGTAACATAGAGCTCTGAAAAAGTTTATCTTTTCAACCAGAGTTCGCCTGGTCTAGACGTCTAGATGCCTTTTGATCTGCAAATCACCAAGTCAGTGCTCACTGTTTTCTTCAACACTACAATTATTTTTGCATTTGAGAAATTACATTTTGGGGAAAGTGCACTGGCTTCCAGTTTCCCGTCAACATTTCAGCCAGAATGTTTGTCTTCTTTTTTTTTTGTAACCTTATTCAGGGCAGTTTCACTGAGAGGCGAGCTCCCGTTTACAGGAAAGTTACTGTCATATCTACCTCTGGTTTGACCGTTTCTGGACTTTTGGTATTTGTTTGGACTTTTGATTTATTTCCTGTTTTATTTTGAAGTAGATTTTCCTTGCGTGTCCACTGTTGTTTTTACTTCCTGTCTTTGTGTTGCGTTTTCCCTCTTCAGTGATTGCCCTAATGTGTTTCACCTGTGTTCAATCACCCAAGTGTTTTGGATTTTTCTGGTGTTTGGAAGTTTCTTTTCTCATTAAAACATTCTTTTCACACCAAACCCCCCTTTTTTCGTTTTGTCTTTTATTCTTTTTATTGGTTTTATATCTTATTTTTTATTGTATTAATTATTATTTTATTTAATCACATTTTATTTGTTTTAATTTACACATCTTTTTTACTGATCAGTGGTTGGTCTTATTTTATTTTTCCTAATGGTTTTTAATTCATACGGATCATTTATGTGTCTGTTTTAATTAGTGTCTCATGTTTCATCTTCACACATATCCACATAGTTGCTGTGGTTGCGACTTCCTTGATAATCCATGTTTTGTGCAGCACATTGTGCTTCCACCTGGAATAAAATGTGCTGGATAAATACAGTTTTTGTCGCACCACAGTGGTGCTGATGAGGATTTGGATGAGCGTTGTTCTTTCACTTTTCTCACTCAGATTTCAATTATTGTTCGTTCTTACAACATCTGGATCTGAATGGTTTCAGTCAGGCCACTAAAACCACTGGATAAAGATTAGGGTCATGATTAAAAAAACAACTCAACTCCCCTTGAAAATATATTAGGGCCCTGTGTCTGATCACTGCTGCCGTTGGTCAAAGGTGAAAACAGACGTGAGTTCAGTTATTCTATAAATAGTAAAAATGTTGACACTGGCCACTGGTATGAAACAGATTGTGACTTGGGAGCAAACACACTTCTCCATCTTTACACTTGCCCTATTTGAACTGCACATTGCTTCCTGCACTGGCACTAAATATTGGTGCTGAATGAACTCACTTCTGCAGGAGGACAGCTTCATTTCTAATCCTCACGGTAAAGACTTCGTGTGTCCCGTCACTCACCTGAACGTAGAGGTTTTTGCCGACTCTGTGGATCCTGATCCGATGGAGACGCCCGTCTGCCAGGTTGCTGAGAGCGGGGCTGAACACATCTGGACTCCTGTCTGTCTGAAGGTGATACCAGATCTGCAGACTCCCTGGATACACAGCATGAAGAGACATGCAGCGCTCTCCTTTAAACAGATCTCCGCAGAAATCCTCATCTGAGCACTTCACTATGATCAATCATGTTCACTCCACTCCATGAAAAACTGCATTCAACATTAAACATACTCTCCTTTAGTTTCCAGGATGTGTACACTGCGTTATAAAGAGAAAACTGACTGAAACAATGTGGCTGCTTGTGTATAAATAGGTCGCTATGTCTAAACTTCTTCAATTGCCTTTTGAAATATACAAATATTTATCTCATAGCTCTTCACTCCCACACTGAATAAGTCAATATGTGCTCACTGTTTCTCCCACACACACACAGCTGCCGCCGGATCAAAGAGTCAGAGAGCTCTGCATTGTCAAGTGGAACTGGGTCAATATTACAATTCCCAGTCTGTAGGTGAAGGGCTTTGTGTTGTGATTCATTTCAAATCCAGCAAGTGCTCCTATAGATGAAGGTCGGCATCGGATGAAGTGTCTCCTCTGCCCTTCAGTGTTTACAGAGACGTGAGGAACATGGTGCGTTCAGGTTTAACGCAAAAAAAGAGGGCATCGGGACGCCGAACTCCGACTAACAGCTTCACACGCTGTGGGTGTTACTCGAAAGTTTGCATGCGGATTTTAAAACAGTGAAACAAATACGCTGTGCAGAATATGTGGTCGACGGTGTACATTTTGCAGGTCAAAGGTCATGAAAGGTGAAAAAAAATCAAAATCATTGAGCCCGTAAGTTGAGAAATTGACATCTGGGTTTAGTTTCTGAGCTAGAAAAAAAAATTAGATTCGATGACTGCTCATCCTGTGTACTGGAGGAAAACCTTCAAAATAAGGCGACATTTGATGATGGTGAGTCACATCTCTGTCATTTCACCTGAGAGCTGAAGACCTTCATATGTCAAACAGTATGTTTCCATCCCATTATTTGCCAGCAACGATGTGAACTGCATGACATCTTTATCTGATTGAATCTGGTCTCAAAGGCCTGTCGTCAAAGGGCAGATGTTTTCTTTTTTAGCAGCGTTGCTAACATGCAGTTCCTTCCAAAGTGTACGTATGTATAAAAGTAACGGACTGCACTTATATCGCGCTTTTATAGTCTAATAGACCAGCGGTTCTCAAAGTGGGCTCCAGGGACCCCCAGGGGTCCTTGAAGGGGTTCCCAGCTAAAAGAGGAATAATTCATTTTCACCATAATTCCATCTATAAGAACGTGAGACTATGTTGGTTGTGGGTTTCAAACGCTGTTATATAACATCTAAAAGCAAAAATCTTGGGGGCTCGTGGTCTAATTTATGTCAGTTTAGTCCCTGATGTGAAACAGTTTGAGAACCACTGTTACAGATCCCTCAGAGCGCTTTGCAATACTCGCCCCATGCATCCATTCATACATCACACTGATGGAACAGCCATCAGGGGTTCAGTATCTTGCCCAAAGACATTTCGACACGAGGACTGGACGACCTCCTGAGCCACAGACCCTCCCTATTGCAAAAAAAAACAAAAAAAACGCACGTACCGTTTTTGGCCAGGATGACGGCGATGTACTGATGGCTGAAGGTGCTGACGGTCAGCAGCATGGCCGGCCTCTGGGAGGTGACGAAGCTGAAGGCGACGTCCTCTCTGGCCCTGCTGCTGCTCTCTGTGGAAACACTGGTGGCCTGCGAGCTCCTGTTCTGCATCACTGAGAAAGGCTCCTGGAAGGTGTAGGTCACCGAGGACTCTCTGTCGAAGGACACCGACACCTCTGCAACGAAGAGAGGAAGAAAAAAAAAAAAACAGGTTTCAGTGCAGGAAGCTCAGTTCTGACTCTTTCTTTTGAAACAAGATTAAAAGACTAAAACCGACCTCTCAAGCGTCAGCAGAGATGAAGTGGTGTGTATTTTGCAGGTGCACATGGACTCAGGTGGATTTACAATACACTTAATTAAAAATAGCCAGAGATACGCATCAATATCCATCTCTCCGAGCAAGGCCGCAGCAAAACATCTGACAATATTTCATGTTATCTGTGGTGTAAACAGACTTTGATGTGTAAAGTTCTCCTTGAAGGTAGCCTGTTGTCCCCCGAGGCGATCAGACCAAGCCCGGGATGAAGTGCTGCCCCTCTCCTGGCTGTTGTTGTTGCTTAACCCACATGGTGGAGGGATATGAAAGTGATGGGTATATTTAAAATAGCAGTAGCAAGTTAATTTGTGATGTTACTGCCGCAAACACACCGAAGCTGGTGATTAAACCTCATCAAAAAGCAAAAAAATAAAACATTGACAGCGATGACAGTAACAAGCCAGTGGGAGAAGCATCTCCACAAAGAGACAATGATAAGGACTCTACTTGAACACTGCAGTGATTCACGAGTGCTGTCGATGCAGGTGCCGAGACAAAAAAAGAAAAAAAGAGTCCCTGGACAAGCAACCTGGTCATGTGTGTTTTAATGGGTGGAAATTAAATTTTTCTAAATGAAATTCTTGTTTCCTGGGGTTAATGGAGGGTGGAACGGTACGGGAGCCACAGTATGCCCGACACACCAGGACGCCATGACACCACCGCCTTGCTTTCACACCACCGCCAGCAACACATTCACTGTGAGACTGCCTGTGTGGTAGGTGCTAGCACATCCACTGGAGCAGATAATCCCGAGGCTCCTGCTGCTCAGCTGTGTATCAGTGCTGGGTGGCTTGTTTTAACACAAGTGGTTGACTTATATACACTAAATAAATAAAAAGAAAATAGAATGGTTGGGTTTCTGTCAACAGCCCACACATAAAGCAGTTCTCCTATGTGCAGTGAGGAAACGAGACACAGATTCAAACCAGCATAAAACATGCAGAAACAAAAGAAGTGATATGCATAATACTGCAGGGATGAAAACACAGCACTTTAAATGTTAAATAACTTATTTCCAGAGATTTAAAAGTTTAGCTCCCATATCAAAACCCACATTTAGAACCTCTCTCTGACTTAAAGGGGATATTATTCGTTTTCTAGAGTAGTATTGACACCACACACCCGGCATAAAAGTAGCAAAATGCGACGCGTTTTAAAACTAAAACATAGCAGCGTGGACGGAAACACAGACTTCCGCTACTTGTTTTACAGACACCGGGAGTCAGATGGTAGATGGAGGTCGGAGGGGTCTCAGCCGGGGCGGGGTCTCAGCCCGGCCTGCTGCATCCACCTCCGCCTCCTTTATTTCTTTGGTTTGCTTTGCTGCACCATCCGACATGCATCACACCACGTCTTCACCCATCCATACACTCCTAACTCTTACTTACACACGCCACGCCGTTTACTTAGTATTTCGGTGATTTACTGTTCCTCTTATAATTTGTAATAAAAACCAAAAATATCTTTGAGCAGAAGTCGGACCAGCTGTGTCCTGGAATGTGTGCTGCTTTCGTATTGAACAGACTGAGCAGGAGTAAACAGTGTAAACAGTGCTGTGTAGTTAGTCATGTTTACAGCCAGGATCTGTTATCCTCCAGAATGTGTTCAAACTGTTTCTCTCCACTGCGTCTATGTGGCTGTTTCCTCTGCCTGTGTGTTGGGTGTCGCTGGGATTCGGTGTTGGTGTCTCACATCTTGCAGGAGATAATTCGGTCTAATGCATTTTAAATGTTCTTGCAGTCTGAGGTCAGGACAAGTATTAATTGTCTCTTGCATTACTTGCATTTTTATTGGTGCGCTGTAATGGAATAACCTTGACAGTGATCGATTTTTTTCGTTTGTTATAATGGACATTAATCTATTAAGAGAATTACACGAAGCGTGCAGCTTTTGTTAAAAACAGGCCGAGCGGGACTCGCCTTGGTTACAGGTGGTGCCCCCGTAGGCGGACTGGGAGCAGTCGCACACGTAGCCGTTGCTCTTCTCGATGCACCTCCCTCTGTTGTGGCAGAGGCTGCTGGAGCCGCTGCAGTAGCCGGGACAACCCGAGCTCACCCCGGGCGTCATCCTGGCCCTCTCCTCCAGGTCGAAGCTCACGCCGTTGACGGTCAGAGTCCTGATGCAGCCCAGGAAACCTCTCTGCTGGGACGCCGTCCCCCCTGGGAGGAGGACGGGTGTTAGTCATTTCTAATGCTCGCTGGCTGTGCTAAGAAGCATCTATAATGACTTCGTAATCACAGTCGCCTTTAAGGCTGATGAGGATTTATGACGAGCATTTACTTAATTCTGGAAAAAAAAAAAAAGAAAAAAAAAAGAGAAAACAGGTGGATATAATCTCCTTTCAAAAACAAACTCTCCACTCTGGTATCTCCGTCTCTTCCAAAGCTTTGGTCTATCATTAAGGAGACGCATTAAAATGTCAGAGGGGGGATAGGCTGCGGGAGGAATGTGACAGGAGAAAGAGAGCACTACAGCAATAATGAAAAAAACAATAAAATAAATGAGTTCTTCACAGTAGCTTATAGCAGAGATTTGTACATTTTCAAGTCTATATTAATGCAATAGTCGCAGGACATTTAAAGGGTAGTGTTCGCTGTATTTCTCCTCTCCACACTGGCTGTGCCGAGATAACCCTTTTGTACTGCGACTACATTGTAAGAGATGGGTCCATGTTCTGTGTAAAACTGCATTAAAGTACCAGCTTATGCAATTATGAGACTTGTGCAGTCTGAATTAGAAAACACAAGTGGGGAGTTTTGTCCCGGTTGTTGTGCGTACACAGAAGAGGGAACAAGAGGGCAATTTGTAGCTTGGTGTTAGCTTCAGCTGCGCTTCACAGTGCATTTTGGCACAAAACAAGCACTGTCTGGAGAGGAGGAAAGATTACAGTAACCAATAGGGTTGTGAAGAGGCACGAGCCGCTGGTTCAGGAAGTGTTTTTCCCCATTTCAATTGTTATTTAGTAGTTTTCAGTACAAGTTTTCATTTAAAGCTCCGTATTTTATAGATTTCCTGTGTTTTATCAGAAGTGTTGATCCATAAGAAGATATATTTGTGGTTTTAAGAACCAAAAAATATCTCAGTGTAGTTTTACATCTCCTCTCTCAGGCTTCTCTCTGCAGCTCTAGTAGCAACAGTCGTTTGTTGAAAACCAATCAGAAAGAGAGGAGGGCTCTGAGCTCTCTGCTGATTGGCGACTGTTTTTGATGATCCAATAAAAATAAAAGAAGATTTTCAGGTAAAAAACACTCAGAGAAAACAATCCTGCAAACGTTTGGCAGTGGTCTGGAATTGCAAGTGGGCGGGGCTGAGGCGGGCGGGCGCAGGGGGGGAGGGTGTGACATCACAAAGTTAACAGAAAGTCCTGACGGCTGGTTTTAAGGCTCATTTTCTGAATACAGGCTGTGTGCATTTCTCTGTGGACTGAGGCTTTGATACTTGTCAGTCGTAGTGATACACCCACAGAGAATTACGCCGTTCCCCTCACCTCTACAGTGTCTTACTCACAGCTCACCGTCAGTATGAATAAATAAATAAAAGGCAGATTGAGCCTGATGAAGAGCCTACCTATGAACAGCTGGCTGCTGAGGCGTAAGCGGAGGTGTCCGTCAGCCGGAGCGTCCAGGAAGCGGAGGGGAAGCTGGTCGACCTGCAGGGAGGCCTCCCTCACGTTGCGCTCTGCCCTCACGTAGTGCCACTGCCTGTCATTCAGGGGGAGGTGTGACTTCACGGACAGGACCGCCGGACCGTTTCCCACATCAAAGGAGAAAGTCACCACTGAGGGAGCTGGGAGGCCAGTGGGGGGAGGCGTAAACACACAAACACACACACACACACACACACACATATATCCAACAGTCAGGGCAGAGTGAATGTGATATTAGGGTTTCTTTATGCTCCTCTGTCCTCCCCTTCTGATGCAATGTGATACAATGCTGCTGGGAAAACTTGATGACCTGAATAGATTTATGAGGGGCTCAGCTGACAGCTTGTCAATATTTCACAGTGTCTCTGATGCTGCAGTAATACATAATGGCTACAAATATCCCGAGAGCTCCTCCCTGAGGTTTGTGAACAAAACACACCGTAATCAACGATTTCACATCTTTTTAACACCTGCAATAAATAAACTACAGCGGTGCTGCTGGAACAACCGCTCCTGTCAGTGGAGGTGTACTCGCTGCTTATTAAATATGCTGTCTGGTAAGTGCAAGTTCATGTCCCTGAATCCTTTAATGCAACCCTTAAAAAACCCAAAGCCTACAGTGTATTTCTTCATCGGTTCTCATGTCAACAAAAGCAGGTTTTTAAATTTCTTTTATATCTAGCTAGATCTTATTTACAGCATTTTATCTGCTACAGTGAATCTACAAGGTATTTGGATTATGTCTTGCTTCTTTATCCATCTGGTCTATTCATTATGGATTTCAGCTTCAGTAGTTGGGTAATAAGGAAATGCTTTTAACGTCTCCTATGACAGCATGACATTGCTGTTGACTGTGTCATTAGGATTACATCATGCTGTGCAGACCTGACAGCCTGCTTCTTGGGGAAATTAAGCTGTCAGCTACAGTACAGCTAACATTTCCATCTGAGAAAAGTAAAAAAAATAAAATATATATATATATATATATTTATATATATCACTGACAGCTTTGTAGCTGCTGTTATGTATGGTTCCTCAGTTTGTGTGCAAACCCTTGTCGTGTACTTTGTGCGTGCCGCACTTCTCTTATTCTGGTCTGAATGTTGACTCACAGCTGAGCTCCACTCTGATGAAGTCTTTGAGGCCCAGGTTCTCGAGAAACACTCCTGAAGGAGCGCTGGTCTTGAAGTAAAAGGAGATATCAGAGGCGAGCTCTGCCTGCAGGGTGGGGAAGTAGAGGTACGACGACTCCTGGTAGAAGGAGGCTGCGTTCCATATAGACTCTGTAAGAGAGAGAGAGAGAGAGAGAGAGAGAGAGAGAGAGAGGGGAAGAAGAGAGCTGTAAGAGGAAAGTAAAACTGGAGGTGAAGTGGGATGATTCATGAAAGAGGGTGTTTCCCCAGGTTATTATCATGAACTAAAACTGATGAAATAACGAAAACTAGATGTGAAAGAACATTTTCGTTAACTGAAATAAACGTAAAAATGAGGCTTTATAAAAAATATAAAATATAACCGACTGAAACTAAAATTGTAGAGAAAGTGTCTTTAGTTTTTGTCAGTTTATTTCATACATACAGTAATTTTGTAGCTGTGCCAGATGGAGCAGTATCTTACCAGCTGATTGGCTCTCAGTGTACGGCCGGTACATGTGCACTGTAGGCGTCCCAAAACATTCACTGTATTAATTAACTATTTTATTGTTAATTAACTTTTGAGTTGGTTGATCTAAAATGAATCAAACCTCTAGAGTTTGTCAGAGTTTTTTCATGTTTTTCTTCTCTCACACGGACTCGACCTTCATCTCATCTCAGACGCACAATTACACACAGTTTGCACTTAAGGCTGCGTCTTGTGTCGACTCTTTACACATTCAGAACAGAATATAATCAAACAGAATGCATTTATTAGTGCATTTCCGTGGTGGCACAAACGTTCAGGGTAAGAATATAAGATATCACACAATAAATACACACACATGAATTATAAAACAGGTGTGAATAATAAATAATCTGTATTGCACCAATTGTTAAGAGTTTAGCTGTGTTATTGCACAATACCAGGATATTATTACAGAGTTCAGTTCTTTAATGGCGCTTGGGTGAAAACTGTTCAGCGCCGTCAGGAGGGCGGCACAGTGAAGGAAGCTGTGTTGCCATTTGATGATTCTATTTGTGCCCATATCTACGTTTTATGTTGTTGTTGTTGTTGTTGTTGAGAATTTTTCTGGTTAATGACACAAACACGCTGACTAACACACATCTGCTGTAGTCGTCTTCAGCGGATGGTTGTTCATCCATCCTCAGTGAACACAGTTTTTTAAAACAGTTTGATGTTTTGTTGAGTTTTTTTTTAATCAAACAAAACTTTTTTTTGACCCTTTTGAATCTCGTCCCTGACAAATCCCTCATATCACTAAAAAAAAAAACTAAAGCTAACATTGAAACTATTTAATAAAAAAACATTTTCAAAACATAATATCAAGCAAACCTGCTTTAAAAACTAATTACAACTAAACTGAAATTGAAAAGTAAAAGTCAAAACTAAATAAAAACTAAAAACTAATCCCTAAGTATTATAACCTTGGTGTGCACAAAAATAAAGTGAGTCTCATTTGTCTAAATTGTCTCATTTTTTCCTTCACTTGCATCTTTTCCTCGCGATGATGAAATACAAGAAAGGAGGGATTTAGTGAAACGTGACATCAGATCTGTCACCAATATTTCCACTGTTGTTTTCTGGTGGTGGGACGGGAAGTAAACTGTGATCTCTGGTGTCAAAATTCACACGTTTTGTACACCCGACCATTTGTCGGCTGAGACTTCCTTTCCTGCTGAAGGAGAGACGTTATTCATGGAGCTACAAGACGCTCATTGTCAGGAAAGCATCAGAACAGATCGCAGTGTTGATGGTTTTAAACCTGGAGGTAGATTTGAGTGTGGGGCAGTGGCGACATGTTAATTCCACATAGTGTTCTCCTAAAGGATCTACGCAGAGTTGCCGGGTTTTCGTGAACTTTATTTAGAAGCTAAATTAGCCTCAGCTTGTCAAAACTGTTTGTTCCTGTCAGGCATCATTTTATTCTGAAAATCCTGTCAGCAGCAGCCTGAGCTACACAGACAGGTGAGCTGCAGGCTCTCAGGTGATCTCTGATGTCATCGCTGAGAGATGTTGACACGAGTTCAGGAGCTGAGTGAGAAATAATACAAGAAGAAGTTTCTGACACGATTCAAGGATCAGTCGGAGCATCGCTGCGGTTCTGTCAGGAAACTTTTGAGTTGTGTCGCCCAAATCAACAAACTGAGGAAAGACAGAGCTGCTGAGTCTCAGGTGAGATCTGAAAGTGGCTCACAGCGGAGGGTTGGTTCAAACAGAGGAGCAGACTGTTACTTTGTCTGCAACACCTCTTTCAAAATCTGTCCATTTCAAAATATAAATTTTTGTCTCAGATTTATATTAATTAAAAATAATATCTGTTCAAATCATGACGCAGTCCAGTTATATCAGCGAACATATACTCAGGGAAGGAGACTTTCCGCAGAGTCATGTCTTTATGTGAAAGAATATGTTTTATTGGAGCACATTAAATAAGGCTTAAATAATAATAAATAAATAAGTAAATCAGTTTCTCATATAAAAATTACCACGTACGACAATGTCTCTTAAAAGGACCCAAACATTATTTCAAGTATTTTTCATTTACAGGACATTATTTATACATTAAAACTTTAGGCCTACACATATTTTACTGTGCATTACCTTTTGATCAACCATATTTATTATTATTACTCATTCTATTTATTGACTGTTGCACTTAGCATTTAGCTTGTCTGGTGTTTTTAAAGCGAAATGAAAAATGAAGCTTAGTGTAAATTAAATGAGGAAGACTCTCTCCACGTCACATCTCACTCACACTCCCCCTCTCCCTCTTTCCTACACTACGCACAGCATCCCTTCCCCTCTCCAGCACGATGACATCACACCGTTTTGTCCGCGGCATTAAAGCTTTGCTCACTCGAGAAATGTCTGAGTTTCCTGATTGAAATGACTTGGAACCTGAATCTGAATCTATTGTCCATTAGATTTGCATAAAATGGAAATTTGCCTTTAACACCCCGGCAACACAGCACAAACATGAAATATATAAAGGAAACACATTATATTATAGATTATGATAAGAATGATTCATAAATGTTTAGCAGCTTAGATTAGTATACAGCTTCTGGAAATGTAGTATTGCATCTTCTACGTCTGTAGGAAACTTTGGGTTCGTTTCTCCACTTGCATTTAAAACAACTTTGTTTTTCAAGTTGCATTTTACTGCAGACGAGCCGTTAAAAATTCACTGCCCTGTGTCCGCAGCTCACTGTGGGACACGACGCAGTAAACATACACTTTCATGTTCCGGTGCTGCCGTCCAGCCCCCTCCTGCCCCCCCACCCCCCACCCCGCTGTCTGGCTGCACAACACCAGTTTGTAAAGACTGATCCTCCGGTGGCTCGGGCAGGTTTTTTTTCACAGGTTACGGTTCGCGCAGGCGGCGTCAGACTCGCAACAAAACAGATGAAGTTTTAACTCTCCATCCACGGATAAACACAAAAGCACACGGCACAAAGACATCATCTGAACACGGTTCGCCTCTGATCAGCACTAAGCCTCCATCTGCAACCAAATCTGGCACAGTAGCTGCAACACTGAGGTGATCACCTACTGTCTCCATAACAACGCAGAGGACCGATGTGGTAGATGGCTTGCGAGCCCGATCTGTTGGTGTCTCCAATCACGATCTGGCTGACTGGTAGGTGGTCTTTATAGGAGAGGATTCCCGTGTCATTAGCCCTGTGACAGAAAAAAAAAAAGAAAGATGAAACGAGTAAATAGTAACACAGAGCCCTCGAGGGCTGGATGCCTTTATGGGGGTCTAGATAAAGGCATCCATTCTTCTGCATTAGCACCGAACGCAGAGTAAACACATTAAAATGGGAGCAATCTATCACAATGCAGACAACTGCCTCTGGAAATATGCAAACCGAGCTGAATCCGGAGAAGCTTTGGAGTGGATTAACACACAGAAATGCAGAGACGTGCCTTTGTTACCTCCATCCGGCGCTTGGAAACCATGATTAGTTTGATCATAATTGTAATATTACGTAGGAGCTGTAATTAATCATTTTTGAGAGAAAACATTGGTCCATAAACCTGCTGTCAGACTTTTTAAAAAACAGATAATGAGCTGTGAAAACTGGAGAGAGGAAATGACAAATATAGATTTATTTCATTTTCAAGAAACACACAGTGAGTTCTCTGCAGCTGCAGAGCTACAGAGCCTGAGCTGCTCCTGATGCTCTGTGAGTGCGTTTGGTGATTTATTCTCTCTATTTGTTGAATGTCTAATCAATAAAACTAAATAGTCATTAAGTTCCTTCTCTGTATTTTTTTTTTTTACCGGATTATATTTTGGTCTAGTGGTCTGTTGTTGTGCCTGTTACCTGCTTGATAATTCATATTTGTGACCTTTGTGACTAAGATCAGGATGTGATACTGGGGATGGGGAAGAGGAGTGACGGTACAGAAACACCCAACAAGGAATTGGTTCCTTCCAGGACGGGAAAATGACCTGAAGTATCTCCGTGATAAGAGCTGGTCGACCTCTCTAAACGATAAGGAAAGGAGCTTCCTATCTTATCTCCTTTAGCATAAGAAACACTGGACACCGTCCCACAGTTCCTTGACGTGCCACTGCAGTTTCACCACAGTAGACCCGTGCAAATGTAGAAACATCAGAGCACCTGTTTTATACGTTTGTAACAACATCCAGAACTTATCTTGTCTGATCGACTGAAATCCACAAATATATATATAAATAATTTCTTTTCTTTAAACCCAGTGAGGAGTCATCATGCAGAACAAGCGTCTTGAATTTGTAGTTAACGAGCCGTTTCACTAAATCCCCTCCCGTTGTCGAATGCACTAAAAATGAATTTTCTCTCTCCGCACCGCGATCGCCCGAATTCCCCTTCACATCTTTTCCTCGACCTCGTGACGTTTTCCATCGAGGTCGAGGAAAAGTGCTCAGGAAAGGAGATTATTTTTTAACTTGTCACCTCCCAAGGGTCTGGAGCATGACCACTATAAGGTGCAGCCCTGTATTACTGTACGATAACGATACAAAACACGTCCCGCCTCCCCGGGACAGCGCACTTCCGCGTCTGCGTGTTAGAACATATGTTGATTTATATACTGGCCTTGGACACAGTTTTGCATCTTGAGCTCACCCGTGAACTGACTAAAAAAGTGAGCGTAGCAATTAATTAGAAATTAATTTATTGGCTGTGTGCCAGTTCAACATCAGTTCTATTGTCTCTATAATTAGTGTCAAATTGCTTAAATTTTTCTCGAGGAGACTTCCCATTGAAATGTTGGGGAATTGTGCTTTCTGACAAAAAGTATACAGACGTACAAATGTGGGAATCAAAGATTAATTGGCTCGTCTTTAAATGTCTCTCATAGAAATTCTTCAGGAAATCACCAGCTGTTTTTAATGAAGTCTAATACAATAGTCCTGCAATAAATCCTCCTTGTAATTTCCAGTTTGAGTTTAATTGTGTCGTGACGGGAGGCGTCCTACTCTCTCTGATAGAAATGGATGGACAAAGTGATAGAAACACCTCTTTCAATAAAAACATAGGACTAGAAATGTCAAACGTACCATGCGTCTGTATCGGCGTCGCAGTTGCAGAAGTAGTTCATGTCGATGCAGTTCTCCTCCAGGCTGCAGGAGCACTGCTGGACCCCGGGCAGGAAGCCTCCCCAGTAACTCCTCCTCTCTCCTTCGCGGTCCAGCCACCAGGACAGCGGACTGCCATCTGCAACAATACGACAGTCAGTCACCGCCGACGCCTGCCAGCTCAAGTGGGTCAAGGTCAACGTCTATTTTTGGGGAGGAGTGCATTGTTTTTGCTTCAACTGCTTTATCCTAAAATCTAAAAACAAAGACAGAGATACATTCATATTGAAGTGAACTGACAAATAATAAAAAGGAATAAAAAATAAAGATTTATAGATTTATATGCACCTATGGTTTAAATACATGAGTGATTAAAACTGGGAATGGCTAAGTAAAGAAAAATGAAGATAATAGAAATAAAGAACAACACAGGTTTTACATAATTAAAACAATTCGGTCATATGTAATCACATCAAGTGGCAGTGAGGAAGACGAAAAACATTATTTTTTTGGCCTTAAAAATACAGCAATTACACAATATATACATATAGATATCCACTTACACAGGCACAGATGTATATGTAGCTACAGGTCAAGGTTTATGTACAGACTGAAAACCAAGAAAATCACTTGGATACATATAATAAGATAGAGAAAGAAAAGAAAGAGAGAAAATAGTGAACAACTGAAGAAGAAAAAAAAAAACAGTTCATCGTTGATAAATCTTTCAAATTGACCCGGTGCCTCATGAATTATGCACTTTGAACTTTAAACCAAATGGGCCATTTTCTTCATTGCATAAATGCATTTGTTTTGATTCTCCGCTCGCATTTCATGGTTGACGTTTTGCGCGCGTGTCGATGAGGCCGCGGCGAAGCCATGAAGGCACAATTCATTACCTCCACTATGGGGTTAAGTGGTCCGGCTTCAGTCATCTGTCACACAACGTGACCCTGCATCAGAGATGAGGTTCGACGAGCGGGGAAAAGCCCATTAAGCTGCATGTCAGAATGTATAATCAAGTGTCACATGCCATGCTGCTTTCTTCCCGCCCATACATTACAGCAGCATCTGGCAAAGTTTTTTTTATTTTTTTATTATTATGTATGGATACACATGTGGCAGAGACAGTGAACAGTGTCAGTTGTCTTCAGTTCATGAGATAACACAAAAGCCTAAACAACAGTTCAATGCCAGAAACCGGGAAGATAAAGGTTACTTGTATGCAACAGTGAAGCCCAGGCAGGAGAAGAAATAATGCAGGCTCCAACAACCCTGGCCGGCACGCCAGCATTTGCATTACAAAGGCTGAAAATAATACACGCTTTATTTTTTCTTTACCCTCCATCCCTGTCCTTGCACTCACTACACACACACACACACACACACACACACACACACCACACCCCCTCTGTTCTGCTGCCTGCTCTAAACCACTATTCAAACACCGAACAGGTACACAAATAAGAAAAGGCAACAATCAATACTTCCTGAAGGAGAGGTCAGTCTCACTCTCTCCCTTAAATTGGCTGGATATTGACAGGACTTATTCACAGCAAGAAAAGCAAAAGCATCCTACTCCCTCCCTTTATTTTATCTAATAACGTTCTGCACAAAGCCCCTTGTAAGCAGCTGCAACACAAAAGAGCAAAGGGTGGTGCTGGAGGAACACTCAGGCAGTCCAAAATGGAAATGGCAATAAAAAGTGAAATACTAAAGAGCTTAACAAGAGTTCTGCGACATGAAGTGACATTTATTTTGACACTTTTGTCCGCAGTGATTTACAGAAAGAGAATTTAAACTCCATAGGAACAAGAGCTAGCTGTCAACCAAAATTAGTAGTGCATCAACTGAGAGTGCTACAGGAAGTGTGTGTGTGTGTGTGTGTGTGTGCTTTTATTTCTTTAAAGTTTCCACATTTCACTTCTCCTGTGTTTTATTTGAAGTGTTGATTCATGAGAAGAGATATTTGTGGTTTTAAGAACCAAAAAACCATCTCAGTGTAGTTTTACATCTCCTCTCTCAGGCTTCTCTCTGGAGCTCTAGTAACAACAGGTCAGTGAGCCAATCAGAAGAGAGGAGACTCTGAGCCTCTCTTCTGATTGGCTGACTGTTTTCTGAGCGATCTAATAAAAAAAAAAATATATATAGCAAATTTCAGAGAAACCAAATCGTGCAAGGGTTGGATGGTGGGTCCAGGTGGGCGGGGCTTGGGGCATGGCTGAGAGCATTAACTGCTTCATTGTGACATCACAAAGTTCCAGAAGTCCTGACGGCTGGTTTTAAGGCTCAGTCTCTGAATACAGGCTGTGTGCATTTCTCTGTGGACTGAGGCTTTGATACTTTCACAGTATTAATATAGAAGCTAGACCTGATCTATAATCACACTACACATGGACAGAGACCTTTATACAATATGGGACCCTAGAATAGCTACTGGTTAGATAGGCCAACACCATCATTCTTCTGCTACAGCCCATCTCCACCAAAGGATTGTAAAAAAAAAAAAAAACGTCTTTCTCATTTCTGTTGGTGTCATTTTGTACAAGCCAAAACCGACCAGAGTCAGTCAGGCGGATGAAGATTGAGTGTGTCGCAGGCTTTAATGAAGGTTTTTCTAAATGCCAAGTTGCCTCCATGCAGCGTTAAGGGTTTCCATACAGAAACAGTTGGTTTTCATGTAGATGCTCAGAACAAAACACTGAAAAACAAACGTATTGCTGGATAAAAATAAAGACCGGGGGAAAATAACAAGCGAAAGCAGCCTGATGAATAAGACGGCAAGAAGAGCAATCATTAAACCGCTGTCTGTTACTTCACTGTAGCGTTAAAAGCCGCAGAGTTTATCCCTGAGCAAACTTCACTGATTACGGGTATTAAAACAAGGAAACAGGGTGTTTAACAATGCAAATCAGATGGCAGTCGAACGCCATCGCGAGTACGTAAAGTGAGTGAACATCTGTGAAGAGCGGAGATTGACAGGTGGAGATGACTGAGATGTTTTACAGCTAAGCTCATATAATAGATGTGAACTTCATCAGGCAAATACCTGCGTCTGTAAACCAAGGGTAGGCTGCTTTGAAGAGTTGTTGTACATGAATATGATAAGTGCAATTTTGTCCAATAATTAATTTAAATATGCAGTTATGCATGTTTGTTGTCAAAAGGGATGTTGTTTGTATCTACACCCTCAGCTCAGGGATGTGCAAAGACACATTTGACCCTTTTCTGCAGCAGATTCTCAGATAACAAAAGGTAAACCATGAAAAAAAAATTCACTCTGTTTCTCAAAGTGTTCATGCAGCTATAAAATAAAAGCTTGTATAAAAGCTTGTTTTCGGTTTCTCTTTGAAGTCTGGTGTGATAATGAACTTGTTTGTTTGCACATGCATGGCACCCAGGGAACGGTGGAAACTGGGACATCATGAATGTTTCATGATTTAGGAGCAAATGTTTGGATGTTTGGGACAGCGTAGGTGCCAGAGCAGTTCAAGATGAATGCATACACACACACACACACAAAAAAAAATAAAAAAAATATTGGAGACTGCCTTTCCAGTTATTGTGAAAATATAACAAGAAGCGCGAAGTGGGAGGGGGGGGGGGGGGGGGGGGGGGGGACTGCAGGGGCAGCGGCTCCCGATGTGGCAAAACACAAAACAGCCAGACTTTCAAATCACAGTCACAACAAACACACCCCTGATGCTGCAAAGTATGGGAACAGAGAACTCGCACAATTTCCACACTAAGGCCATGTCCACACCAATGCAGTGAGGGTGAAAGAGCAGAAGTCTTTATATGAAAAAAAAAAAAAAGAGATAAGAAAAACTGTTTTTTATTGGCTCAATTTTTTGCCCCATTACATGGTGACGTCATCTGGTTCCAGCTCAGCCAAACAAGTTCACACACGCTCACAGTCCTGGTAGATTACTCTGTAGCATGACTGCCATATTTCTGCGGTTTACTTCTTGATTAAAGCTGTGTACATCCTTCAGAGGCTGCACTTCAAATCACTCCTTGGCTCCTTCAAATGCTTCCTTTTCCCGGGGCCACGAAGGATCCAACGTGTGGGTCCTTCGTGGCCCGACCTATCCCAAGATTCGTTGCTGGCCAGTAATGAAAGCGAATAACACCGACAGAGAGTCTGAGAAATTCCACTTTTAAATGTAAGGATTGTAATTGTAACTGTTAAAACCAAGGGGCACTAAAACCTCAAATATTTGTGATAAAAAGTTACGTGTTGTCAAGGAGCCGCGCTTGGCAACGCAACAGTAAGGGCGGGCACAGCTGAGGACGCACAGTGAAAATCCTGCGTGGATAAGACCATCTCGTTTCAGTTCGGCCTTCGCGGTCTGCGGCGACCACGAGGCGCCACACCTTTGTAGACTGCATCCTCTGATGGATGTTCAGAGGTTTAAATACCTTTTGTATTGAAGAGACGGGACTTCCTGCAGTTGTACACCACTTCCTGCTGGCACTGCTCTGACCCCGACACGATGGCGCGTAGCTGCTCGGCCGAGGCGCTGTAGTTGAACCTCATGATGTGAGGTTTCTGAGGCGAGGAGCTCTGGACTGTGACTGCAGCTGAGATGTTGTGGGCCACGACCGTCCACACCTTCTCCTCTGAAAGAAAAAGAAGTTGGTGTGAAGCCGCTGTTAAACGCCATCGCTAAATGTTATGACTATTAGCACCATCTCATCCACACCTTCTCCCCTGCAAACAAACCCCCCAAAAAAAACTAAAGGTGTTGAGGTTCGCCAGGATCCACAGCTCGCACCTTTTACTGCAAATACAAAAAAAAAAAAAAGTGTGATGGTTTGTTAACAAGAACACAATGTCCTCACAATATCCTCTAAACACAGAACGCAGTTTATTAGCATAAACCCACTGCACCAGATATCTGTAAATACAAAGAGCATGTCACTCAGTTGGCTCTCTGCCCACACCTCAAACAGAAAACTGCAATAACCTTTTCTTTTTTTCTTGCATTAATAAATCATCTGCACGTTTTACTCTGAAGACAAAATCACATTTTTTTTTTTTTTTTTGGTGTGTTTTCTGAAGCAAATGCTCCGTTGTCAGGGAGAGAAAACGTGTGATTCACAACTCATCCATTCATCCCGGGTTGAGAGAAATACAGGTGACAGGCTTTATTGTGCCACCATCACAGGAGAGGGTTTTGTGTGATGCATTCAATTTGTACGAGGCGGGACTATTGTGTGAAGTTTGTCTGACTTTCTTCTCCTCTTTGAAAAGATAAACACATGTAAACATACATTCAAAGTAAGAGAACATGAGAAAATACTGCAGCAAACATAACAAGGATGCAGCACTGACCTGCACAGGCAAGTCTGACATTTGAAAAAATATATATATATATATATTATATTCGGTGCTTTGATTTATCATGTCGCTTTGCATTTGCTTTGACCCGTTTGTGTGTCATGTTCACTACACAACTCAGCATTTGGCCAAGTCCATTAATGAGTCAGTGAGGCGTTCTATGTTCTTGGTCGAACCATCTGTGTTGCCAGTGACATTTCGCAAAGCTTCACTGAATCACTGGAAACCTAATAAATGCTCTTGTTTCCGTGCATCAGTTTGACTCTGTTCTCTGTGCTCCATCTGTGAAATTAAAACCTTACACAAACCACCCCAAAAAAAAAAAAAAGACCAGGTAGAAACCTAGTATCTGTCAGGACCACGTCCTATTTGTGTCAGCCGGTTTCAGCCCTCCTCTCCCGCTCTCTGCGCTCACATGTACACTATTTTAATTCGGACGAATTCCCAATACAGCTGTTCTCATTAACGTGTTTTTCTGTGTCTGTTGTCACACAACCAAACAAGTATGAAATAGTTACTGAAACGCAGCCCATTAAGACTACATGTTAACTAGCTGTCACCTCCAAGCTGTGCAGTACTGAAATCACACAGCACATAAATTAAAGACAAAGACTGTGCTGTGATTTCAGCTGCATTTACTTTTAAATGATCCCTAAAGCCCCTTTTACACTGGTCGAAAAACCCACTGACATCTGGCTTTTGCTGGCAAAATGTGAAAGGGTCCTATCGACAATCACTTCGTGGTCAAATGACTCTGCAGTAGACGTGGGTATTTATTGGCTCCGGCTCTGACCGGCAGTGATGTAAAGACAACACCCGGGTGAACACTTATTCATTTTTGCCCATTTTCCCTCTTTCAGAGCAAAGACGCTGTAAACACACCTGTCACCTGTCCAGCACGGTGACGTTAAACCAGAAACACCGCGGCTGCACTGAGCTCAGGGATGAAAGAGAGACGAGCCCCCCCCCCCCAAAAAAACAGGTTTTCAAAAACACACCATCACAGATCAAAGCGTCTTACACCGAAGCTGCGACACTGACAGCGGCATCAACCCCAGGATGAGATGCAACCGATCCATTTTACCATTCTGCACGGCGGATAACAGCTCAATCTTTCTCCCATGCATCTGTCTGTGTGTGTGTGTGTGTGTGTGTGTGTATGTGTGTGTGTGCGTGCTCCGTAACTGCGTGTTGCAGTTGTGTGTCTGTTTCCTCTCTGTAGAGTCAATCGCCTTTTTGCAGCGAAAAAAAAAAAAAGGCATGAGAGAGAAGGTTAGAAGCTCGTCCTCATGTCGATGTCTGTTTACTCTTGTGTTTAATTCACGTCACCGTGCTTGAATAAAAATGATCTTGAGAAAAAAAAAGAAGCTCGTTGTCATCAGCTGCCATCCCGTTAGCATAGAGAGGTGTCTGCGGAGCGGCAGCACTGGTGACTGTCTTCTACAGAAAGTAGCTGAGGTTTGTCCAACAAGTTTCTAGATTTGTCACTAGATGCTTTTTTGGGCTGACCAATGGTGTAACTTCATCACTCAGTCACTCACTCAGCGACGTTCATGTTTACAGGACTGGCCCTCCGGTTGTGGTGGTCCTGCCAAACACAGTTTGAATTCCTCGCTCTTTCTGACCAATTTCAGATGCATTTACTTTAAACAGGAGTCAACAGTTTGTGAGATAAAATCGCACGAGGACACCATCTTATTTCCGTCCCCCACTCAATTTTCATTATGTGGATTTCATGTTTACTCTGCCTTGAAGGAAATCCCTCTCCGCTTTGTGATTATTCGCATTAGGTTGTGAGGCTTACAGTTATTTACATCTCTAATAGATTCTTTAATTGAGGTCAAGCCGAGGCGTAGCTGCTGCCAAACAATCCCGATTTGTGAGGGGAAGACTGAAAACATAAAACGCTCGCGCCAGACAGCAATGGATGGCAGCACTCTCTGTAATGACATCACCGGTACATTAACCTTGCAGAGGACAAAGTCTCTGGGAAAGTTGTGACAGATAACTGATGAATCCTGTCTCTGGAGAGTCAAAACTTTACTGAATATGTTTTGTCCTACATGTCACGAGGACTGTGTCCCTCTCCCTGCCTGTCAGATGTCACATTTCAGGTGACAGTCCAGGTGACGCAGAGCATCATTGTGTACTTGCCTTCAGAAGATCACACCGATACAACAGGTCTGATGGGTCGATAAAAAGAGTTTTCAAATTAAAAGCCCTTTGCTTCAACAGTAGTAGCATGAAACTGGCTGTCAGAACCAAACTGCCAAATTAAACTAATTGTATACAGTGAATAATTAAAAGTCAAATAGTATTAATCTCCAAAAGTTTGGTATGGATGTTTCTGCTGCCCAGGGCAAAATTTATTGTAATAATAATTCTATTGACTCCTTACTCTAAACTTTCCTCTTCCTTTAGCAGGAAGTCAATGATTTCTCCTTGAGCAACACATAAACATCAGGAACGTGGTGTTTCTTAAAATCAATGAACAAATTTCTGTGAAATTTGATTTGGATATTCGTATTCCCCACACGATGAACAGCAATGTGTTTGTGTAGGTCAAGATCACTACTGGTACACAAGAAAAAAAAAAATCCAAATATAAAATATATATGTGGACTTCTCTTAAATTTATTGCACACCTTTATGCTTTCCTGAGGATTACCAATCTCCACTTTGATCACTTTTCTATTGCGCCATTATTACTTCAAAATGTCAGCTTTGCATATAATATATCATAATTTACGGTCTCGCAGCCATGAAACTAACTGAGCAGATTAATGTTTCCAAGGGGATTAACCCTTTTGACTTTAATGACCACATGCTCTGATGGAAACCGGAGCCTCTAGAGGCCACTAGTGAGGGTTTTAGACTAAGCTTGTTGAACTGTAATCTTGTCATGGCGTTTTTTTTTGTTTTTTTTTGTTGTTTTTTTTTTTTAAATCTGAGACGTCATGGCTTCTACACGGCTGATTTCAGCGACACTTAAAAGAGGCGTAAGCTCCGTCTTGTGGCTGAAGCGACCAAGGGGTGTTTGCATAATTTTCTCAGGGCACAATGACGACTTTATAAGTCAGGATGTTACACAAATGCAATGAGGTGTGATGCTGGTGCTGCACGACATTAGCACAAAGGGGACGCAACAACAATATCAGATTGTGTGACATAATACACAGGGGCTGCATATGGATGAAGGTTGACCATATTATGTGAATGATATTGGCTTGGTTGTGAAGTTAAGGTTGGATATTAGTGAAAATGATATTACTTGTCAGTTATCAAACCTTGTCTGAGAACTTGTATATCAGCTGTGAAAATGGCCACTGAGCCAAAAGTCGTACATAGAATAATAACTCAGGCCAAACTGATTATATAAGTTACAAAGTTCTTCACAGAGAAATTAAACCAGATAAGAGAAAGAACAAAGAGCCTGATCACAGTAAAAGTATAAGAGTAATTGAAAACCTATATCAAACATCGTGCAGAAGGATCTGACAATAGGGGAAGAAAGCGAACAGAACATGTAAGCACAGTGATTAGGAAAGAAAACAACACATATCAAACGTTTACCAAAGGCTGACACAAAGAGAAGCATTTTAATAAGAGATTTAGAAGAAGTTAATGACTCATTACAGAGTGGGGGGCTCTGATAGCAAAAGCCCCGTCACCCTTAGTCACAAAGCTTGATCTGCCTGAACACCTGAGATCTGCTGAAACTGTCAGCTCATCTAAATCAGGGCTTAAAACATCACTATTTGCTGCAGCTTACCAATAAATAACACACGTAAAAACATCCTTTTCACCTCGTGCTATATTTGCATTTGCTTGTTTTTAATGTCTTTTATCACTGCGGCACTTCTTTTAAAATGGTGTCTTAAGTTTCTGACCTGATTTTTATACAATCTTGATGAGTTATTTAAATGTTTTTATTTATTCAAGTTTGTTTTTTATTGTTTTTAAATGTTGAATTGCGTCTTGTGTCTGAATGGTGCTGCTGTATATAAATAAATGTGCCTTGCCCAGGGGGCGACCAGCAGGGCTCCTTGTGGTGGGAACATACCATGTCAGTAAATCTGAGTTGTTTTAAGGCATTTAAAGTCAGTGATAAAAATGACTGTGTTAACTGATATGTTTTCCTATTATTAAAAAGTATTTGTAATTAAAAAAAAGAGAATAATAGTTTATAACCTGAATAATAGATGAAATGACTATTTAAGATAGTGAACTGATGCAGTGTAATCACATGGACATTTAGGAAAGATATTGACTTGCCACAGATAAACTCTGAGGAGCTGCCCTCAGTGACCGTAATGATTGCTTACTGGATGGTAAACTGTCAGCCGGCCGTCGTGCTGCGGATCAATGCAGAGTGATCTTTAAGTGAGTGGACTCTGAACTTTCTGCCAGTTCTCAGTGAAACTCAAAAAGAGCAAAGGTGACAACATGTGGACTAAAGTGATCTCACCTGTCATGTTGCAGTATACCTGTGTGGGCCCCAGGGGACCACTCCCATCTGGATCAATGGAGTAGAAGCCCGAGGAGCTGCCAATCAGCTTGTAGGCCTCGCAGGACGACTCGTAAATGGCTGGAAGAAGCAGAGCGGGGAGAGAAATCAGCCCACGCTCCAGCAGCTCTCTGCCGCCTCAGAGTTATATTACTCTTAAATAAGCAAAGCAGGTGCTTTTGGTGAAATGTTACTGTTTCATCTATATGGACTTTTTTTTTTTTAGAAAGTCCATATATATAAAAAAACAGCACAGCAACAACAACTCCTGTGTGGATGCTACAGTCACTTCATATAAATGACTACCGAAAGGCCAGAATTTAGTTACTGTAAAATCCACCGTCCAGTCAAAACCATGTCTCTCTAAAACGTTATGGGATGTGAATGGGATGTATGAACCAAATGTTATTTTCTCTCTGCGTAAAGGACATGTAATCCTCCACATTAAAGTATCTGAAACCAATCACTAAACTGGCTTAGCCCGCCTCCGTTAGTTGCTCTTGCTATGCCTGTTTCTTTCTGTTCTTGCACAGCACATGTGCAGTTTACAGTTATAACAGTGGCAGATTTACCACTTAAAAATCGTAGTAATGTTGGAAACAAATGGGGCCTTGACCTAAGACAGAGGAAAACACAAGCTGGCTTCTGTTTTTAAGCGACCGATGATTTTTTGATTGTTAAAATGATGATTACAGATTCTATCATGTGTAGCTACCAAGATAATTAAACTAATGTTAGCTCCATGATATGGTGTAAAAATTCTGTCTCCTCTTGAAAAGACCTTCAGCCGCCATTGTCTTTACAATACGAAATGTTATAACACGCCCTCTGAGCAGCCCTACGTCTTCAGGGCAGATCGGAGGCTACAGCGAGGGCCGGGACTAACTGGTTAGCATGCTAACTTCAGCAGAAGAAAACAAGTGACAGAAACAAGAGTTAAAATTGCAGTTGCTTCCCACCTCTGGAGACAGCTGTTGGTGAGGAAATGTGGAAGGAACTTGCCCAACTCACAACATTTCTTAGCTGTTAATGCTAACGTTAGCCATGTAGCGATAGCAAAAACATACAAACAGTTCCTTAAATGTATCCAGCTAGCTAAAACAACTGATGATCCGTGTAGAGTTAGTGTGGAGACAGTTAGCAACAGTATCAGTATCAAGTACGACGAGGAAGAGTGTAAACTCAGAGTTGTATTTCATCACAACATTACCCTGTTTGGCTGTTAAATATTTGGATGGACAAGCCAGTTTTGATTCATGCTTTTTTGTTGATGTTTTCAAAACATTAACACACAAACCTTATGAAAACCTTTTGAAGAGGCTTTTAGGATGAGGACTAACCGATGACTTCGGGGAATGGTGTCTTGGATAAACAGTTTACTTGGAGTAATTGTTGTGTAAACTTGACAAAATCAATTAAAGTCCTGTTATCCTGCGCTCTTAAACAGAATAGCAACATCCCGGCCGGCTTCCTGGGGAAATACTACACAGTGAAGGCTCTAAACATAACTTGTAGGCCACCAACATCCTGCTTGGCTTTGGAAGAAAAGCTGGATTAGGTTAGTTCTGTAGGTAGTTTGTTAGCCTGACATGCTAATATATGTAGCCATTAGCAAAATGGCTACATATATGTCGACACTACTCTCCAAACTATGTCCACACTGTGTCACTTTTATTACAACCCTAACAGTCGATTGGTGATTGGTTTTCAAATACTCAGGTTTTGGATATTCAAGTATGAGATAGAAAATGTGTTTTTTTGGGGGGAAGTTGATGACAGTTGAGTTGAAAAAAAAAAAAAAGCGCCTATTTTTAATTCAGCAGATGCTCTTTTCTGTCATGTTCCCTTCCGACGTGCGAAGAAAACTGCATTTGCCTGCATATATAAACAAGAAATCAGTATTCTGAGGCAGGGCAATTTCACACATAGTTTCCAACATCAGTCTCCACAGCCAATATCAAGGTGATGTTTGGGGGGAGGGGGTGGGTGTCAAAAACTGACACTTCTACACTTACAGTCAATCTAAACTCAGCCCGTCTAAAACTATTTAAGGGTATGGAGAAAAAAAAAAAAAAAACAGCTTCTCAGAAATTTGAAAAGCGAGAATAGCAGCAATGATTGTGAGGTCATGTCAGGTTGAAGCAGGACAAGTTTCTGCCTCTCATATACACGTAACGGGGAAGAAAAAAAAAAAGAAAAAAGGAAAGCTATAAGCAAGACGGGGTAAAGATGTGTGCGCGCCGAATCAAATGACACAGTTCGGGAGACCTGGAATAAATGGGCGGGGAGGTAGCAGCGGCTGCGATGGCAGGTTTGAGAAGGTGAAGGTGGTTTTGACAAGGTGAGGGAGTGAAGGTGAGATGAACTGCTCACAGTTGTGACAGGTCGCTCCGGAGTATCCTGTTCCCGAGCAGTCGCAGGAGAAGGAGCCCCACGTCTGGGAGCAGCGGCCTCCGTGTTCACACAGGTTAGGAAGGCACCTGGACAAAAAACACAGTTCTCCATCGATTACTTATTGATCGTCACTTTCTATTCAATCAAGTCAGAGAATATGAATATTAAAAAACTGTTTGACCAACAATCCAAAAGTGGGCTGATTAATTTTCCTGTTGTTTGATTAATTTACTCCTAATACACCTTTGTCTTTAATTTTCCAGCACCTTGCTTCATAAAAGAAATGAAGCTATTACGAGCAGCAAAAACAACAGCAAACAAAACATCATACAAACCTCTGAGGCGTGAGGTGTCAGCAGAGATACTTCTTTTGTTAGTGTTTACAAAGCTGATCTTTTATTTATCAGGTATGCAAGACCCCGTGTTCACTGTTCCCTTTCTTCTTTTTTGTCTTCTGTTACAAACACCAGCTTTTGAACTCACCCAAAAGAATAATTTGCTGTTTATTCATGTTTTGTGAAGCCGCATTAAAAATCCCAAACAACTGTGAAATGATGGCGTCTCATACTGTGCCCTTGTCTTGAGTTTGGGGAAGGAAAAAAAAAAAAAAAAAAAGCTGACACATCGCCATGTTCCTCTAAAAATAAAAGCGTTACTGTCACCTTCAGACTAGAATGCCTGTTAATGGGATTTCACCACAATGAGCGCTTCGCAGAATTTTTTAAACCGCACCATTCTGATTAATAGTCCCTTCCTCAAGCCTCCTCCAGTTTCACATAATTGCCAGCCTTTCTAGCGTGCATCTATAATTTCATACACTTTCATCTCTCACCTATTAACTGCAGCGGAGCGGGCCAGCCGCAACACAGATAAGGTTGCACCCGTTGGTTTAATTACCGTCAAGCTATTTTCTTTTCGTGTGCTCGTGAGCGCCCGTACAGGTCATGAAATTACAGTAGCCGGCGCACCTAAGTGCACGCTGACCACAAATTGAGTCACAAGATTTAATTAGACACAGAGAAAAGGAAATTAACACTGATAAAAGTTAATTTTCTCACACTCTGTGGGGAGGGAGAGGGGGGGGGGGGGGGGGGGGGGTGTCATTAATCTGCAACAGTGAGTGAAACGACGTTAACGTTGACGCAGTGAGCAGCAGCAGCAGCAGCAGCGTCGGCCGAACATCACGTGTCATGCCCTCGCAAACAGAGACATCGACTATATATCAAAAAGAACCTGCTTATACATTCATTCATTTTCGATCTGCGTTACCGTCTTTGTTGCTGTACAAACATGAATACTGCATAATGCATATGCTGTAGATAAGCTGTTTCATTTGTACTTTAAAGGCTTCAATATTTCTTATGAAATACATTATGAAGTCACTATAAATACATTTCAAATCTGTAATTTTTTACCCATTTGTTTTTTTTTTCACCTCTTAATGCTGTACAGATAATATTGTTTTTCTTACTTTTTTTTTTCTTTCAAAATAATAAGGACTATTTGTGCTTCATAGAGTTTCCAGGAGCAGAATGGGAGTCACAGCCTTCAGCTGTCGGGCTTAAAACTATCCTTTTTGATAAAGCTCATAGAGCCGGCTCAGGTGAGCCCTGAACCATCCCTTAGTTATGCTGCTATAGGCTGAGGCTGCTAGGGGGAAGTCCCATGATGCACTGAGCACCTCTCTCTCTCTCTCTCTCTCCCTCTCTCTCCATGCATTTATATCACACTACTGCATGTCATTAACTTTGTTGTCTCCTCCCTGCTGTAGTTTGTGCTTCTCCTCTCTGCCCTCATTCTGCAGGTATCTGACTGCAGAGCTGCAGGATCCAGATGTGCCACTAATACTCCACACACCCATTATCATTATCATCATCATCATCATCATTTTTATTATTATCATTTTTAATTGGTGCTGCTATCATTACTGCTGTTATTGTTACTATTATTATTTTCATCAAAACAATCAGTCTGACAGTGCGTACATACATTATAAGAAACACTGCACTCAGTAGACAACACCCAAGACTTAACACACACCAACTGTGAATATCTCTTCTCTGCTGCTATGTTTGTTATATCTAAATATCTGTACATATAATATCATTATCTACTATTGATCTTGTTTTTAAGTATTTTAAATTGAGATTTTGCAGTTTTTCTTTTCTTTTTTTTTGTACCATCCACTTTGCTGCTGCAAAACTGCAAATTTCTCCACTGTGGGACTATTAAAGAAATCTTTTCTTAAAATAATAAGTACACACAGGTTTTCTTCCTCGCCAAGTGTTTGCTCGTGGTGGGAACTGTTGGTTTCTCTCTATAGTATTGTATTTACTCAGTAAAGTGCCTTGAAATACAGTATGTTGTGATTTGACGCGACACAAATAAAATCAAATTGAATTTTTGAGAGAGAGCGAAACCTCTTTTTATTCATCACTTTGTGTTTTACGCCACAGCACTTGTGCAGGATCACTGTCCTGATCAGCATCGTTTCCAGCAGCTGCATGTCGCTCTGATAAACCCGGCGTACTCTACCTGCCCAGCACTAAATGACAGACAGACAAAGTTAGCATGTAGCTGGTGAGGAAAGTGTCTAAAGAACCCGATATTACTCAGGAGTCGGTGGAGACTAAATCACGGTAAAAAGGAGAGAGTATTGGACAAAAACACGACTCCAAATGATGCTAATGTTTCTATCTGCTTGATGTGTATCTACTGTGTGTTTACTCCAACAAAAATGGCAAAAAACTAAAGCAATTAATGCAGGTTTAAACGTCTGTCGCTCCTGTAGGTTTGTGTAAGAAGGTAAAGATGTTGGCCAATAGACTATTTGGAAATTTGTTCACATTTTACCACCAAAGTCTATTGGTTTCTTGAATGGGTTTTTGGTTAGATGCCTGAAATAAGCTCTGTGGTTATCACAAGCTCAAGACATTTTCACCTTTTATTCTACAACATAAAATATATATCAGTAAATACCCCAGTCATGATTTCTTTAAGCGTTTACATCTCTTAAAATGAGACGGTTGCTAACGAGTGTCTATATGAGACACAGAGGTAGTTGGGGATGTTAAATGTCATCACGCCTCATTGTGTTTATACTTGCGCTTTTGCAAACTGTTACTAACTTCGTTAGCAGAAAGGCTTTTGTGGAAGAAGAAAGAGCTAAATCAAACTACAAATTGAAAGTTTAGAGGTAGTGATGTTTGTTTTCAACTTTAACATTAGCTTTTTCCTTCTGGTGAGTGTATTTAGTCTTCAAAAATAATAGAAGTGGTGTTGCTGAACAAAACGTGTCAGTATCATAAACTTCTGTTCATTTTTCTGCAGTAATCCAAAAGACATTGTAAAAATCCCATTGACTTTTTGTTGAGGGAACCAGGGTGATGCTAACATCCGGGTTGGCCTGCAAAAATACGTCATCCCTGCAGCACTCCATTACAATTTATATGAGATAATATTTTGGGGGGTGTGTGCCTTCTCCCCCTAGTGGCCAAAAAAGTTCTCAGGGTTTTTCTTATATTATATTATATCATACGATCTTTTTAAACCATCTGAAAGATTCACAAAGAGCTTTTTCATAATATGAATTCTCCATGTCAGCCCGGTTTCCATCATCCATCAATGTTAAGTCTTTAGGGGGAAAAAAAAAAAAAAAAAAGACAAACAAACAAACAAAAGAAAAACACTTATACATACAAAAGATGTATGCGTCTCAGCTTGGGACAAACCCCCAATCTCACTCCATCGTCTGTCATTTCCTACAGTGCACCCCTTCGCCCACTGACACAACAGACTGGCAGCACTGTTGTGTTTGCAAATCCTCCGACAGCGAACAATCTGGCCCGGAAAGAAGGTAGTTTGAAATCTGACAAAGATGCGACTCTCCTCGGGGCCAAATACAAGGGGAAGAAATGGCAGTTTGCATGTTCTTCCCGTTTCCTTTAAATGTTCCAAGCCACACGCAACACATCCAGGGAGCTCGTAGGTTCTCTCGAACCCGTTCACGGTGGGCCCCACAGCTGTGCGGGGTAATGAGGGACAGCATGCCAGGCAGGACAGTAGGGAGCAGCTTGTTAGCATAGTCCTCTGCCAGAGAAGGTGTTACCGAGTTTCTGTTGCAATTTAATTGGATGATCCTGTCAGCATGTTTGTCTCCGCGGGACAAGATGTCAGTGACTTTCAGGCTGCTCTGTAGACAACATACTGCCACTCACAAATTAACAATGTGGGCATGAATAACTCTGCTGCCAAGTTGGATAATGTTTCTCCGATTTTTACGTCTGACACATTTTTTGTCTGTTGAATGTCAGAAGTTTTTCTTTTTCTTTTTTTTTTTTTTTGTGTAAATTCGATCTGAGAACTGTCCTCTAATTAAACAAAAGTGTAAATAGGAAAAATTCAGAGTACATTACCTGTCTCTTATGTTGCAGGTGTCAAAATGAAGCTCATTATAATTTCCCAACAATCCTTGCTGCACGTGACTTAGATTCATTTGCTGGGTGTTGATGATTATGAGCCGCATGCACCCCTGGAAGGTCGGAGTGGGGACCTGGCAGTCCATGGTGGGACAGCCTGGATGGAAACGACACATGATGCCACCTTTTGACTTTTACTGTACGAGCAGAATGAAGCTTTCAAGAACTATTCTGTTAAGTGATAGTTCGGGTTATTTGACGTGAGGTAATTATCTATAGTCAGTGTTTTACCTGGAGTAGATTCAGATCATTGCGCTCCCAGTTCTGAGCACCAGCACAGAATCTGAGGATGTGTGGCAGGTACCGTCTGCAAAAACGTGTTTTAGCTGCTGTGCCCACAGTAAAAGTGTGAACTTATTTTCCCCACGTTATCTCGCTGTCAAACAGCTCTTTCCTTTGGAACGACATTTTTTCAAACTGTTGAGCTACCGTATTCCTACGCACAAGAAAAGGTGACCAGGTTTCTGAAATGAAAACTGAGAAACATTTCCAGTTCTGTGATCAGTAGATCATTAATATATCCGATGTCTTTATCTACGGAACACAAAAAGGGAACTGCCCTTCTCCTCTGCTGCTCGGTCTTTCTCTCTGGTCTGGTTTTTTTTATTCACAATCAAAAACAGGGACATTTCCAGGGACAGGTCCAGCTGGGGACAGGCCACCAAAAACTGGAACTGTCCCCGGAAAACTGGGACGTCTGGTCACCATAGCACAATCGCACCTACGGCGAGCTCTGTCTGACACAAACAGCTGATCTGCAAAGTGGCTAAAACATGTTTTTGCGGAGGGCCCCGTCCACAGCAGCACATTGCTCCCATCTGCTTCTCTAAACTGGGAGCCGGCTGAAAACATCGTGAGAATCCACTAACCTCCAAAGTAAAAGTTGCCTCTTGCTTCCGCTTGTTCCCACAGTTCAGTTGTGGAGCATGGCTGACCGTCCACGGTCAGAGCGATCTGCAGATTCCTCGTGTCCAGACTCACTGAGTGCCACAGCCCATCACTCACCCTGTGACCTACAGAGGAACAGTTCACAATTAGCAAACACTTTAGTTAGCACAGACAGTTGCTTTGTCGTCGACCCGGAGGCTTTCTCTTTGCTTTTTGTTTCCTCTGAATCTTTCACAGTCATGGTGGCCGAGTTTTCTCAGCGGCCATCAGCATTTGTGTTATCAGGGAGGCGGCGGTGCGGCAGTGGCCAAAGGAGAACATGACTTGGGTTTAATTCATTTCACCGGTGTTTGGGTTTAATTAAAGATTCACCTTTTTTGATACTCCTGATAGTGATATTTTTGTAATACCTGCCAACACCGCCACCAAATCCCCTTAATTTCCTCTCGGCACAGTTCCCTCTCACAGTTGTTTTCCCATCACTGACACAAGAGACAACCACAGAGCTTCCAACCTTCCTCAAACACTCGCAGCCTCAAACACAAGACCCCCCCCACCCCTCCCCCCTCCCCCCTCCGCTCTGTCACTTGTCAACAAACTTCCTGCATATTTTACCATCTAAATGAAGTTAACATTTAATGAGGAAAAGTGACTCTAATGTCAGCTTCTTGGTGTTAATTAACTACGGTCAACAAATACTGTAGGTGCATAACTACCAGTGGTGATTAAATACTGTACACAGCTATTTATACATACATATATATATATATGAATATATGAATATATAATATATATAAAGAAAAGAAAAGAAAAGAATAACTGAGTCTTTCTTTCAGTCTTTCTCTGCAGCTTCCACTCTCAAACCCCCAGACGCCGTTTATCATTCTGCCCTCAGATTCATTACTGGTGATTCCTGTGACACTCACCACCCAGTTCCTTCAGAACAAAGTTGGTGGGTCCTCTCCAGCACAGAGGTGTGATAAACACTTGTACATTTTCATCCATTAAGCCCTTATTGGACATTCGCCACCCTAATATAACATCTGTGCTGGACTGGACCGCGGGACCCGACCAGACTCTACCCGCTGCACCAGCTCTCTTAGGTCCTCCAGTATATGGCCAAATCCTGATTTTATAACCGCAACTGACAAAATCCCCAAACACATACATCAAAGACAAAGACTGAGCTGTGATTTGAGCTGTATTTACATGACGTGACATGATGACTTCCCCCTCTCCTGCTCTCTCTCAGCTCGGTGTGTCTCATGTTTAGTTAATCCTCTGCCTCCTTTAGTAATAATGTCACATGTAATGAAAGTAGTTTAATTGCCATGAAAGCGGGGAGGCTCAGTGTATTGGAAGTGCTTCCCTGCAGTTCCCGAGCAGCCGGGAAACCAGAGCGGCTCGGTAGACTGCCCGTAGCAAGAGGTGCAGCCCTGAGCTCTCAGCTGGCGTCCGCACACGGTCCAGTCAGGAACCAGGATTATACCCAGCGTTCGAAATAAAGTCTCTAAATCTAGTGACAATGTGCTAAGTTGGCAACACTGCGGGCTTTAAACACCCGTCTAATAGAACCTGTTAGCACCAGAAACTCCGACACAGTGAGAGGCACCTGGCTGACCGGTGATGGAAATATAATCAGTCAGTCAGTCAGTCAGTCAGGGACGTTCCAGATCATAGGGCTGGCCCACTGTTGCAGTCCAGCCAAGTGTAGGTTGTAGTGATTGTACTGTGTGTTGGTATTTCTTAGTGTGTGAGACACCTGGTGCCATGAAAGTAATTTTTTTTTAAACCAAATCCCCAATCAAATCACTTTTAATCTTTTACTTTCCATGTCTAATCACCCTGATGCTCATTACGCATATTTCCTGCCTGATTCCTGTTAATTGTATTTCACCCAAACTGGCTTTTTTTTTCTTCCTCATCCAATTCATTCCCTTCAAATGCCATAATTTCCCTTCTGATAGAAAAACAAAATCCAAAAACTTGATTCTCATTTTTCAAACAAATTGCTAAATCTAATATTTTGTTACCTAGGAACCGAAAACTGGAAATCTGTTTAAAGATGAGTAATAAGCTCAACTCGGCTTGATCCACAAAACGTTTATTTCAAATTGACAGTGACAGCTCATCTTCACAGAGCTGCAGCTCTCAAGGAGGACAATGCCACAATGACAGCTGGGACTTGAAATTACTGAGCCACACCTCACTTCTGACTGCGCCCGGTCCCGGACTAAATTTGCATCCAGATTGAGCTGTGCTGCAGCTCGGGAGCTCAGAGGAAGGGGGGGTGGGTGGGATGGGGGGGGTGGTGGTCACGCAGAATGCACCTTGGGAGTAATTTTAGTTGAGTCTAAAATCAGATATGTCCAAGCTCTTGGGAGAACTTGAGATTTCCACACCGAGTCTACTGGTGCCTGTCGCTTACAGCACAACCTTTTAATGCCGCGAGACTGCGAGTGCCACGGGCGTTTTTCTCCACTCCATTGACTGTTTCATGGAATAAACAGCGTAGCCGCGAGGGACTGCTGGCGAGCATCAGTGGGAGTTTCCTTTCCCATCCCTTGTTCAGCTCATATATCATGATCTCCTCGCTGATGACGGTGCTGCTGGCCAGGCTCGGAGTGTCGCTGCCCTTTCTAGGACACACATCCGATGTGTTTTTGTATCAAATCAGCGATCTGCATGACTCTTGCTCAACAGTTAAGAAAAATAAAATGTTTGCATATTCTTCTTATGCATGAGGCTATATCTCTGAGCCTCCAGGAAATAGACAGTTTCATGTGACAGTTTCATGCCATTACTGCACCCAGCTCGCAGTTGGCTGCTGCCTCCAGTCCTCGACAGCCGTAACTGGCAGTAGATGCAGCGTAAGCCAAATGAAACAAAAGCTCATTCTGGATTGTTGTTACCCCGCTCGTAGACACTTGTGCATCTCTCGGTTTGACTGTAAAACAAAGCTTGTTTGCTTGTGTGAAAATTAAGCCCGTGCTGTTGATGCAGATAATTTCTGGGCTGAACAGAGGAAGATACGGATCAATATCCTTTCCACACTAACGCTCTTGTGCACTCGCAGCAATTTATCAAACATCGCCGATGGCATGTATCCTTGAGCGACCCCATTGTCCACACGCCAAACCGAAGATAATATATATATATATATCTTTCTAATAAAGCTCAAAAGTGAGAAGAAGAGGAGGGTTAAATATAGAAAGATTACCTGATTTGGAACAACTTTGTGGAGGCCCCTGCAGCTCCGTTTAATGATGTGCACTGAGACACCTCCGCCGTGCTACATTTGACATTGCTATGAGGTATGTGATACTGTTGTGCCTTGGGAGGGAAGTAGTGAGAAAGGTGCTCGATAATCTACTGACTTGATTTGCTTTTAATTAAAATCCTCAGTTTGAGATTTGCAACTTTCCCTCTTTTCTGGGAAGTGACGGAGCTTTGTCTGCCGCATACATTTCCTCTAATGGTGCAGCACTTTCAGGTTATTAATGGTTATGATGATTAAAACAAAACAAAAAAAAAAAGGAAAAAGGGGATCATGTTACACGCTAAAGAGGCATCAACAGGTAACGCTCACCCTACGCAGCGTGCTATAAAGAGCCACCAGCAGTGAGTCCAGTTTCCTCTGCTTGGATCTCACATCCATCACAGGGAAGGATTTCCAGCTGCTCCCAGGATCCACCACCACACACCACACACACACTTCTTCAAGCCTTGACTGCATTATTCCTGGTACCCTAGTGTAATTAGGGAATTCACCCCCACCCCCCCCAACACACATCTTGTGTTTGATGCAGTGCATTCGCAGAGGGCAGGTCTGCGTTTTACACACATTTGCAGACTAGATCCCGGGGATTATCTCTCAGTACGTTTAAAATGTTAATGGTCTCCGTGCTGAGTAGCTGCATTAGCCCCCCTGTAACCAACCATTTGTAACCGAGATGCTATCTGCGCGCCGGCTCGATAATCTTTTTTTTTTTTTTTTTTTTTTTTTTTTTAGCTGTGACCTCTAAAGAAAAATCCGGCGGAGGAGGAAGCAGAACGAGGAATCCTAATGAAAATAAGTGAGTGAATAAATAAAAACCTAAATTACTGAGAAGTCGATTCATATGAAAGCTAATATGAGATTTCCTCTTTGCTCTGCTAAATTAATTTGCAGTGAAACTTTTATTTTACGACACGAGGACCCCAGGTCGTACCCGTCATGAGCCACAGTTATAATGCTAATAGGCCCTACAGCAGTTCATTTAATGCAGTTTGAGGTAAATTATATGAAAGGAAATATTGTCCCTTAGCCGTGGTTGTCTTCTCCATCTATATTTCCCTGCAGCCCACCATCTGCTGAGAGCCTGGCTTACCCAACCAATCATAGTTATCTGTGTTATCTCTGCTAAGCAATCCCACAGAGGATTGGGTGATATTTTTCCTCTGAGATCTCCTCTGTGAAAATAAATGTTTTTTTTAGTTTATTGGGGGACAAAGCTGATAAAAGTAAGTCAGGTGAAAATTACCTGCACCACTCCGCGCTGCTCTGTTTCCAGATTTTGTTGGATTGGGGGGTGGGGTAGGGGTGGTGGTGGTGGTGGTGGTGGTGGGTGCGGGGTGGGGGGGGGGTGATACTGTCTTGTCTTTGTCTGCCTCAGTTGAGTGAAGCACAAAAAAACAAGCAAGACTTTGTGCGCTCCATTGTGCAAATAGGGCGCTTTGGGGTCAGCAAGCTCATGTGGATGTGTGTGTCTCAAGTTCCCCACAAGTCAGAAGGAAAACTCCTTTCTTCCTCTCAAGGTTTTTTAATTAATGTAGAAAATGTTCACAGTCAGTGTCAGTCCCCAAAACACATTGTGTGCATCCTTGAGCTCTATACAACGTGTTGAATGTATTTCTTTTCCAGAAAAAAAAAAACATTTGCAAAAGAATTTCAAATCCAGCATTGTTTGAATGTTTTCATCTGCTTCTTCCTCTCGTCTTTGCAGGTGCATTGCAGCAGATACTGTCATGTTCCCGCCATGTGCATGAGACAAAGAAAGGTGGACCCAGTCATAGAGAAACAGCTACACTAGCACTAATAGTGGTCAAAAACTCCTTCAAGCTCAATTTCATTTTACTGAATAACAACATGTGACTTTTTCCAAAATAAAGCTTCTTTTTTTTAACCAAAAACAGAAGGAAAAAAATCTAATGTTCAAATAATTTAAATAAATAATTTAGGTAAAAAGAAGACAAGGGCCAGTCCTCACAAACACAAATGTGTGTGTTTTCTACGTGCGTGCATGCTTGCGTGTGTGTGTGTGTGTGTGTGTGTGTGCTGTGGACACACCAGTGGAGACCTCTGACTTCTGTTGTCCTGAGCTGTGAAGGGTCAGATGCAGTCTGGTGTTGCTGATCTGCAGCTCCAGTCTCTGGGGCTCCGGGTTCAGCTGCACGGAAAGCAGCAGCCCATCTGGATTCCACGTCCTGAACTGGAAGCGAACGGAGAAGCCCCCCGTGGCAGACGCCGCCGCTGATGGAAGCGACAGGAAGCTGCTGCTGGAGCTCAGGAAGGTGCAAGCCACCAGCTGGGGCTGCGAGCACGAGAAGGTCACGTTGCCCTGGAGGACGACAAAAGCCAAGGACGCAGATTTGCATGTATGTTAGGAGAGGCTGGTCTCATGTGAAATTCATTGTGATACGTCTGGAAATAAATGTCATGTTGATTTGCACAAAAAGGAACCAGATGGTTAAAGAAACATGAGCAAAACCTCTGCCTCACCCCAACCAGAATCATTAAATGAGACCTTTAACCACTTAAACTGAATTATTTGTCATTAATTGTGAATTAATGATCAGCAGTAATTACTGCACTACTTAGATGAAAATATAAATGATAATGATACAGCTGCCACATTTCATAGTGTATGATATGAAAAAAATTGATCCAATATCAATAAAAAAAACAAAAAAACAAACATGGCAATTAAAGGAGTAATTTGACGTTTAGGGAATTATGCTCATCTGTGTCTTACTGAGTTATTAGAGAAGATTGACACCCCACTCTCAGTCCCGTGGTAACACAATCAGCACATAATCAACCACTTTGTTTAATCTTTTCATTTTACACAGGTGTTAATGTGACTGGCCAAGAAGTAGCTGGGTATATAACCGCCCATAAAACAATAACTTTTCTTTTATAATTTTCAGTATTTTGTGCAGATAAAAAAAAAAATATATAATAATCACTTCACGGTTGTCTGCCTCCGCCACTCAGACTAGTTTCAGATTACATCCCTGTTTATCCAGAGTCATAGAAAATATTAACCATTTGTGTGAAATGTCATAATTGCTGTGTGAAGTTTTGAGTTATGGCTAAAAAAACAGACTTTGACCTTTGACCTTTGACCGTCAAAATCTAATCAGTTCATCTTTGAGTCCAAGTGAATGTTTGTGCCAAATTTGAAGAAATTCCTCAAAGCCGTTACTGAGATATCGCACTCAGGAGAATGGGACGGACGGACAACACAAAAACATAACTTGGAAAGAAACTGGTAAAAAGCAGTTTTTGAATTGAATAAGCATATTTCCCAAAATGTTGAACTATTCCTTTAAGAATGGCACAGGAATCCAACTGAAACTGACAAATGAAAACTCTTTTCTTCTTCTTGTAGTTTTCCCTCGACAGATTTTCTTTGCATAGTGAAGAAATCCATACGGCTGGAGACGCTGTGTAAACGCCAACATCAGCAGAACGTCAGAAACGTCTACCTCAAATGAATCCACCGATTTATTTTGAAATTTGTTTGCCCCAAACCAATATCGTAGAGCGGCTAAAGATAAAAAAACCATTTCCGTTTAATTCTGTGCAATGCAGAGGCTGTGTTAGGTACATTCAAACTCAAGACTGGTCATGTCTGTTGAGGTCAGAGTCCTATCAGTCCCGGAGCCTGCAGGGCAGCGCAGAGCAATCACAGCTCTTTGACTCTCAATGTGATTCCTCCATCAACCTCAGGGAGATTGTCCCATTGAAATTCCATTACAGCTTCCATCATGACGTTCCCTCTCTCTCTCCACCTCTCTGCTTCTGTTGTCAGTAAAGGCCTTTTAACGCAGCAATCAGACATTAAATGGAGGGGTGGGGGGGGTGGGGGGGGTGTCTCAGATGAGATGTGGCTTGTGGCTCTCTGGCTGACCGGTCTGATTTGTGTAGGAGGTTGACTCTGTAAATGAATCCGCTCAAACACTTAGGCTTAATGATGTAGTAGTTAGGATTGCAGTTTGATGTGGCGATTGTTTTCAAGTTCTCCTCTCCTTCCAGTTTCTCACCAGAATACTTCAAATCTGAACTATCAAATATCATCAAATCACAAATCAGCTGAGAGAAAAACAACAAAGAGAAATAAAACTAAAATTCCTCCGGTTGGTCTTTTGTACAGACATTCATGATTCCCTGATGATGCGTCCTAATAAACATGTAAACATTATACCTAAACTTCAGCATGTTAGCATTATCACTGTGAGCATGTAAGCATGCTGATGTTAGCATTTAGTTCAAAGCACCGCTGTGCCTGCTACAGCCTCACAGAGCAGCTAGCATGCTGAATGTGTTAGCATTAATATTTTTGTGTTGAATGGTGAAGGAAAGTGGCTGCTTTGAGTGACAGGTGGGTTTTTCCTGCATTTATATTTTCCTGCATATATGTATATATATATATATATATATACATTTTTTTTCTTTCATTATAAAATCACCTTATTTATACATCATTGCCTGATGGGAATCTGTCTCGGAGTTTCTGGAGCAACCGCTCTTATTGAAGCCTTTCAGGAGACATTTATATGAGCCCACATATACTGTATGTACATCAGACAGCTGTCATTACTTAATCTGTGGTTGTCATTATTACCACAGACTCTAGTCCACACTTACGCTCTACACATCACACTTTACAGCTAAACTATAGAATTACAATGAAATGCAATATATGATTACCAAATTAAGCCATATTACACTGTGACTTTTCTCTTCTCAATGTGCTCGCCGCCCACGTTCTCTTACTCACCCACATGGGTGCCCGTTCTGTTCCTCTCTCTCTTCTCTTTAACTCTTATTATATCAATTTTCCTTCGTAAAAGAGACTTTCTGCAAGGTAACATGGCTTGTAAAATGCACAGTGCTTTTTCCACATTTCTGAGCTTTTAAGACACTTAATCTGTTCTTGTAAGAGAAACACATGAACCAGACTGTGCTCCAGGAAATCATTCGGAGAGACTCAACCTGGATCTACAGGCGGAGCTGAGGATTTTTCATGACCTGGTACAAGTCACCAACAGAGCCACAGAAGTACCTGTGCAGCTTTATGTCACTGTGAAGTAAAAGATAGGTGAATATAGGTATATGCATGTTTGAAGAAATTTAGAAACAGTGTCATAGTTTATTTTTTCAGTTGTTAAATGTCTTACTTGTGCATTTCTGTATTGAAGATATCTTTTAATAGTGTTTATGTTAAAAAAAAAAAAAAATGAATATTTGATATATCATATCAGATTTTTAAAAACCCAAACATGAATTTCTGTATCAGCATGAAAAATCCCGTAACCGTCTGGCCCTGTTCATTAAACTCAAGCTTTTGCATCTTCAAAAGAAAGATCTGATGCATTTCACACTCTGTGTGCGCTGAATGCAGGCGGACAAGCAGCTGACTCACTAAAAGCGCATGCAGCGTGGTGGTGTTCAACACCGCCTAAAAATCTGAACTCTGAAAATCTATCAAACTTACCACACTGTGTATCTGTGGCTTGCGTCTCTTTGCCAGGTCTATGATATTGATTCCGTTGTAGTAGAGGTTTTCCATGCAGCCGTGGAAGTTCTTCCTCAGAAAGGTGCCGGGTTTACCGGGTAGCGGGATGCCTCCGAAACTCAGCTTCCATGAAAAGAAAACAGAAGATGTAGAACATTTGTTGCTGGATACAGACGCTGTTCCAATACAAACAAGTATCGAGATGCATATTCATGAGTGCTATTTTCACAAAAACGATAGAAAATGAAATTTACATTCTGCTCTGTATTTTTACTGCATGTGAAACCGTCACCAGAGTAAACACAGCCTCAAAATACATGAGGCCCACACATTTATTCTGACCAGTTACTGCATAAGCAGCTGAGCCAATGATTCAGCAAGTGAGAAAACAAAACCCACTCGCTTGATCCAAACACACACTCTACGGCGACTATATGAATACAATATGCGTACAATGGTTTGGCCCGCGCAGGACCCCGACCCCAGCGCCATCTAATGTCCCTTGGATGGACTGGAACACCAGCTGCGAGCCAGGCCTTATCACCCAACATCAGTGCCCAACCTCACTAATGCTCCTGTGGCTGAATGGGAGCAAATCCCTGCAGCCAGTTTCCAAAATATTTTTGAAAGGCTTCCCGGAAGAATTTCCTGCCAGCAATTGTGGATTTTACTGGCTGAAATGACAACTTTCACCAGGACATTTTTATCACCTATCAGCTAATTATGCCTAGCTAATTAACCTTGTTCAAAAAAAAAAAAAAAAGCTGATTAATTTTACAATGAAATCTACTTCATGACATATTTGTGCCAATATTAAGAGATCGGTAAGATACTGTATGTCACCTATAAGGGGATATATCATCATCACATATATACATCCTCTGGATATATGATGATATACGTTTATAACATATATGAAATACCCTTAGTAAAATTTGTATATATACGGTATATAAAAAATATCTATATGATGAATTTTTATATGGTATAACATGTTGTGACCACATATGTTAACAATATACAGTATATTTAATTTATAGATGCAAATTTATTAAAACATCATGCATATAAAAATGCTTATATATGTTATTCTTAGTCATTTTAAACATGTCTATCTTCCCATTCTGGGAAAGTGATCTCAGACTTTTGAACCCTACTATATAATATCAATATATATTATATAACATATGTCTACAAAGTCAGCACACATACATAAACATACATATTTGTATGGGCTAAGACATATATAGGTTTCATAGTGAATTTTCTACATGTGTGTTTTTTTATTTTATACTGTATGTACATATATTTCATACGTAGAAATTCAATATATGCACATATATTACATTTGCATATGGGTTATACGATGCTAAAGCTAAAGCTAACACTTGTACACCAGTAAGAGGGGGGCATACCTCAATATCACTTTTTGTTGGACAATGGTTTAAATATGTTAAAAATAGTGAAACTGGAGTAAAATAATAATGCAAATTGCAAATTTCCACAGCACTCGGTGTAGAGTCACACAATGTTAAAATGCTGTGCACAAGTTATCAGAGGTCGACAGTCCACTTGGCAGTCTGTTATTCCTTTCAGATTATTATGCATTATGGACACGCCATTTCAAAGCATGTCCGTTCTCTGGGGCTTACATAGACTAGACTCTGTTTACCATAGTGCTCCAAGGCTAATTACTAGCTGGCTCATTACTAACTCCACTGCTCATCATTGTGTTATCAATGATGATGTTGTTTGGCCCCTCACTGGATAAATTCATTAAGAGGTGCGATCACATTTACATCTCACCTCCAATTTATGTAATTTAATCAACCCGTGGACTCACCTCATAATCCACCTCCAGCGAGTGTCCTTCTCCTTTGGTTTGGAAGTGCTGTGTGTGGGAGTCCACTGTGAGGTTAACCTGCTTGTTGAAGCGCTCTATGTGAACGGAGTGCCAGTGCTGGTCGTCCAGCAGACTGCCCACAGTGACAGCAACACGGCCGCTGCTGAACCTCAGCCTGCTGTCGTCTGGCGGAGGACAAAGGAAACAGCAGGAACAAAGTGAGCGGAGAGAAGCTGTGAATGCGTGAGGGCGGGCGGGCAGACCTCAGGGGTACAAAGAGGCCAGAAAGAAACCCACATACACACACAATTACGCTCTATCCATTCATTCAGGTGATGTATAGTGGAGTAGAAACAGATAGATTGGTTTGAAGGTGGGTACAAGGAGCTGTCGTTTGATGGTGGTAGATTGTTCTGTCTTTGTAAGGAAAATTTGCACCACACTCATATACCAAAACAGTCGCTTCTGCATAGCTGCCAGTAAGACACTGACTGGTCCAAACCACCGCAACCCAGCACATAGCAAGCACGTTGCACCAGGCTCCAAGCAAATAGCTAGGACTTTGTTGAATCACTGTCAGAATGAACAGACCAGGTCTCCTAAATGGACAATGTTGTGTTTAGTTGGAGCCAAAACTGTGGGAGGAGGAGTTTGGGAAACAGGAAGTGGTAGAATAACAAGTATGTTCGCATGAAAGATAGTAATACCGTTGTTGTGGCACACGGCAGGAAACACTAGAAATGTTGTTTTTTCATTTAGATGATGAATTAGCAGCAGAAAAACAATAAATTAATGATAAAATAAGTAACTGTTTATGTCATTTATCAACTAAAAAATATCAAACACCGACAGTAATCTAAGGTCTTTGGGGTTATGTTAACTCCTGACCCTGAAACGGCGCTGCTCGAAAATCCCACAATAATGGAAAATTTTGAGCGTGCTGCCAGAACAGTCCTGGTTCATGGTTTATTGCCAGGAGATGCATTTTGAAATTGTGGAAACCGGACTCGCCCCTTCGGTTTGAGACTTGGTTGAGAGAGGTGATAGGAGTCCTACATGCAGAGAGACTGAGGTATGAACTGTCTGGCAGACCGCAGCACGAGCACATCAGGGACCAATAGATCCACCTCCTCCGGTGTCGCGTAGCCATGTACCCGTTTTGGTGGAAGCTGAAGATGTTTAGATATTACTGAGAAGAGCAGCCCCTTCTTTATTTATTTGATTTTATATCTTTATGTTTTTTAAGGGGGGATTTATTCATTTACTTGCTTATTGTTCTTTCTGTAAGTCCTGAATCTGTCTATTTTATTTGAGTATGCTTTGTAAGTCTGTTTTAACTATGTAAAACCACCATAAATAAAATGTTCCAAAAAATTAAATAAAAAATAAGTCAAATATTTGCTGGTTTAAAGTTTTCAACGTGACCAATGTTTCATCTGACAAATTTAACAATATGGGGACAGAACTTTGGTCTTCCGTATGTCATGAAAACTCATTACTCGGTGGAAATGAGCTAAGATGGACACATGACATCCAATACATTGCTTCGATAATGCTCAATCATGAAAACGAAAATCATCTACACATATTTTTAAAGGCTTCATAGCTTCACCATCTAGCAACGATTCACATTTCAGACTGAATTTTTCTGGAAAATAAAACATTTAAGAGAAAAGTCTGTGAAGCACAGTTCACCTAAGTTGAGGTAGAGGTCCAGTCTTCCCCGGTGAAGCTCCAGGGTGATGTAATCTCCCCTCTGCCCCTCTCCGTGCAGCAAAACACCTTCGGCCTGATGGCTCTTGAACCGCAGAGAGATCACGTCCTTCACCGTCGACATGGACTTCTGGTTGAACCGATACAGCAGTGAGCTTCTGCCGTCGAAGTCTGCCACGTACGACTCTAAAAGGGAAATCAGAGAAAGTCTCGGGTTACTATGACATCCTGTAAAAACCTTCAGTGTGTAATAAGACAAAATTGCTACATGCTTGTGGAGAATGCACTGAAATGTAGTTAGTGTAGTGTCACTGCTTGGAAAATGTCCCCTACAATTTGATCTGCTTCATTTTCAAGGAGACATTTTTAAATATCCTCATTGCTTTCCTTGCTTTGAGTTGGTTTGCTCCGTTTGAAGAAAGTCAGATTTCTCATTCATTCTTATTTTTTTTGTGGGTATTTAATAATTTATTTTTTGAATGTTACAGGCTCAGAAACTTCAATTCAAATACAATAATCACCAGCATAGATGTAAAGCTGGTGTACTACTACTACTACTCTTGTCACTACTGCTATTAATACTGTTGTTTCTACTACTACAACTACTTTTTTTTTCCCCCCTCAGTAAATACTCTGTCTCTAACCTGAGGCACCAGATGGTTTGATACACAGAACCATCTGGAAACTCTTCATTGGAAAATGTTTGAAAAAGGGCAGGCACTTTCAAAAAAAAAAAAAAAAAAAAAAAATTTGGCAGGTGATTGGATGAACCATCTGTCTATCACACGATGTAGTATATATATATTTTTTTGAGGTCATGCCATGTTTACATCACTGCTGATCGGAGCAAGAGACAATAAATACACGCAACTACAGCAGAGTACTTTCAGCCGGGAGTGAATGTCGATTGCGGCCTTTCACACTGACGACAAAAGCCAGATGTTAGTGGGTGTTAGCGGGTTTTAGTCCTGTGTAAAATGGGCTTGAGTTAGCATGTTGGTGGACGTCTTGGTATGGAATATTTGCACCTGACAGACACTCTTGCATATACAAAAACAGCTGCTTCTCCATAGCTGCCAGTAAGACACTACTCGGTCCAAACCACTGTGGTTTGGCCACGAGCGATTAGCTCGGAGCCTGGCAAGATGGATCGTCGCCAATGAGAAATCATGCTGCCTTGCAAGGTTACTCTTTTTCTTGAAATTTTGTAAAAACTTTGTCAAATCACTGCCAAAGTGCGATGAGGAGAGTAGCAACTGTATGGAGACAGAGTAAGCTTCAGCAGCTAGGAGTATGGCAGAGCCTGTGGTGGTAAAACCTAGGAAGAGTCCAAGAAAAGTTTCTGATGCTCCAGATGAAGAAGAAACTCAGCGATCACAAGAAGGAGTACAGTCTAAATAAGAAAGTGATCGATGGCGAGGACAAATATGGATTACCATCGGTGAGACTTTTCCTCGTAGGACGAAGCTTTTGTCGCCTTACCGCTCGTGGAAAGGTTGGTATTTGTAAAATATTTGAAGTAGGCTTCGTAGCTGTTACATTTACTCTTCCCTAAGTAGTAGATTATCGTCTTGGACCGAAGCAAGCGCTGTCAGTAATTACTCTCTCTGCCAGAAGGGGGACACAAAAGTTTTTCATTGCAGGTTTAATACCTGCCACTGGCTTTCCGTTCAGTAATGCATCTATCCCACTGCAGCAGTATAATCCAGTCAGTGGTAATACTGGTTTCCTGTAGATGCATTTAAGTAACATCACAGTCTGCACATTCTTACCACAGTGACGTCGATAGACCCGTTTCACTTACATTAACGTTGGCGCCATTCAATTTAGGAGAACCAGTTCCAGGGCACGGAGGGATTGTGCTCCCTCTCTGACATGGCTCACCCTCACACTTAATGAAACGGAGCCACCTGTGCTTTGCCTGCCGTTGTGACAAATCAAAAACGTCTGCAATACAAAGTTTCTTCACACTAAACTGCTCAGACTTCACAGGTTTATCGGTTCTCCTGTAGTCTGTCAGGAGACGTGCAGCCCTGTTAATCACTGCTTTAATGTGCAGCAGTGCTGACAGCCAGGCTGTTACAGCAATCTACATGAATAAGGCAGAGTACAAACATTAATGCATTTCACTATGTTTGGTGGTTGGTCATCATAAAACTGCTCACTGTGGGCTGCTCTGAGGGTGTTTCACACTGCAGTAATTCACCGGCTCATCTAGTTAGTGCTGCCTCACAACGCGTGGGAGAGGTGTCTAAGTGAATCCCCATTACGTGTATTTTTATTGAGGGCTGCTCAGGTTATTAATTTCACTGTGTGTGTGAAAAAGCTTTTCCTTTTATCACGTGGTGTACACTCACAGAGGTCCGAGTTCTGTTTTCGCTTCTCATTAAAATCACAAGTATGGAATTATTTTAATGTGGTCTTTTACTATTCAACCTTTTAGGACAGTTATTCCAAAATAACAATTTAATAATTTTATTTTGAATCAAAACAGCTTTCTTTACTGTTAGTCAGCTGAGCATTAACGGCAACACACACTTGCAGTGCAGATGGATTGAAATTAAAGGAACAGGGTTAAAAGTGTTTCTCTGTTTCTACGTGTCCAAGTTAATATTTATACTGAAATCAATACGCCACTTTAATCTACAATTAAATACATTTAAGTATTAATGCAAAGGCTGCTTAATCACAAAATTGCATAAAACCCACTGCAGTCACAAAATGAGATGGCAGCTACTGAGAGCAGCTTAGCTAGCTGCCTTTAGCAGCAGTTTAGCTGTTTGTTTTTTTCCTCTTGTCCATCAGCTGCTGCCTAATGTGATTATGTGGAATCAAGAACTGCCTAACGACAATCTCAGTTCATCTAAAATAGATAAAAAACTGGCAGAAAATCAATAACTTAATCACTAACTAAAACGTAGGTAGCTAAGGCTAGCCATAGCTATCCAGCATGCTAGCTCTTACTTGATATAGCCTCATTAGCTTAGCTGTGTAGTTAGCTTCTTTCCATGGCAGTAGGCCTCTGTGACGTCACTCTGCCGGCTAATACAAACACAGGCAAAGAGGAGGGGCGTGTGTGGAGCCGAGACTTCGGTTCATGCCGGTTTGTGGCAAACACACGCTCACCCACCTGTCACTCAGAGTGACACGCCCTCAATTATGTATAACTTTAAGCCTTAATAAATTTAAACGGTGGTCGATGCTTGGTCCTACAGCGCAGTAGTTCTCAAACCTTTTGACATCAAGGACCCTAAACTGACACAAATTAGACCACGGACCCCCGTCTGATAAGATTTTTGCTTTTAGATGTTTTATGACCAAAATAGTCACATTTTGTCACTGTGTTACTTATGGATGGAATTATGGTGAAAATGAATTATTCTCCTTTTCCCTGAGGGTCTCCTCCTATAGCAGCCAGATTACCAAGCCAGACTGCACTAACTGCAGCCTGTGCAGCAACACAAAGACAAAGAAAACAAACTTTCCATGGCATAATATTTTCTTTCACAGATCCCGTTTTGACTGAACATGTAGTTGCTGTGTTTTGCCTCTGTAGAGCAGCATTGTTTTCTATGGAAAGCCACACACCGGTGATGTCTTCGCAGTCGTCATCACGCGCTGATGCTCCAGAAAAGCAGCAATTTTCACATTTCCTCCCAGGGTTGGCACATCCTGTCTACTGTACTTTGACTACTTTGTCTGTCTGTGAGGCACATCTGCTGCATGTCACACATTTCAAATGACACGATGCGTCATTTGACACAACACTAGTTGAAGGTAGCCAGTGTGCGCTGCACTTTGTGAGTATGCCCACCTAGTTGGTGGGCATACTCTCCTTTGTCACTTTTTCTTTGTGCCCATTATGTGGGACACCTTTTTCTGTCACGGCAGAGCAATGACTCAGTGATGAAACCCACATGAATAGACTCAAGTAGAAAAGCATGTTATCCTGATATAATAAGGTATTTGAGCTGTGACAACCGGAAAAAATGTTTAATATCTAACGTATTTTTAAAATAATATTGGTGTCTTGTGTGTAGGCGTTAAGACAAGATAATAAAGTAAAGATGGGAAAGATGATCAAGCAAACAAAATTATGATTTCGGTATTTACCAACCCACTTATGTTAGTATGAGTGTAAACATTAAGACTGGCATCAGTATTAGTACCTGAATAGAAATGATCTAAGCTGCACTGGGCATGTTTTTATATTATCTGTCTCAACCTTTTTGTATGTCATCGTACTTCTTCCAAATCCCACTGCACTTTGCAGTAATATTTAATAATGTCTAACACACACTATGACTCTGACAGCCTCTCACATCTAAAGACAATGGGTGTCACACACTATAAGATTTTGTAAAGACTGGGGATCTTGCAGGGTTACTATTTGCAAAACTAGATTCCTTTGAGATTATTTTTCCCATCATGCTCCTGCAGGAAATTTACAGGAAGAAAAAAAGTTTCTTCTCTTCTCTATCATTCTCATGATTATATGAAGTTAGGAATTCACCTCTTTAATGAGCTGAGCCTAAAATGACCGTTTGGCATTTATGATTTCCTTCATTTATTTTGAAATTATTTTCAAAATAAAAACAGGAAATTATTTTCCTTGTGTCCAATTTACCTGTGTATCTGTTATGTATTTAATGCCGGTTTTACACCAAATGACTCACATCCGTGCAACGTTGACAGTGTTCATGTCATTGAACGCCACTATTTGCACTAAAAACTTACATTTATATTAAATTTATTTCATTTTTTTCATGGTACATTTTGTCTACAAGGCTACATACAAAGTTTTTACATGCATGTGGAAAATAATACTCCACTGTGAAAAGGTGATGCTCATATGAATTGTTTTAGCATTTTGCTAGCAACTGACACTTAGAGTAAAAGTATCACCAGATGGTCCAACATTTGTCTTAAGCTGCTGGCACATTTAATTTAAAGTTGTGAGTGTTGAATGTGAGCAGAGATCACTGTGCGTATGCGTTTCCCACCCTGTCTGTCTTTGTATCAGTCATTTCACTGCTGGTCTGGAAGAATTAAACAGCGTGTTGAAAGCAGGTGGAGAGAAAATAGTCCTCATTACTCTCCATCAAGAGTGTAGCTGCAAGCGGGGCGTGTAAATCAACAGATCCTTTAAGGTGGTGTAACTACAGATGTGTGGCCTGAGAGCTTTCTTAGTGTGGTATTAAACCGCAGGATGCGCGTGTTACTCACTGTAGGAGCAGCCGTACACCTCCACTCGGAGGCCCATCCAGCCGCTGGGGTTCCAGTCGAGAGGGACGAAACGCAGGAAGCGTGTTCTCACTGGGTGGGACAGTTTGTTCTGGACAACGGCCTCTGAATTAACGTTCCCGACAAACCTCTGTAGGGAGAGGGGGGAGAGAGGGGGGGGAGACAATGTGGTTGTGACGGTGGCAGAGGACTGATATAGAACAAGAAGTGACCAACGCTCCACTGAGAAGCAGCAAATAACCTCAGATCTGAAGTGAATAGTAATGTTTTCACAGGGGAGTAGAAAAGTCTGCTTTTAGCTGAATACTTGAAATATAAGCAGAATAAAAATCTAAATCCTTGAACAGCACAGACAACAACAAAGTGCTGACACGGCTAACCCAAGGGCAATGTCTTCCTCCTATCCTTGGCCATACTATTTAATGTAAAATGATAAGAATCATTGTGCGGTGTAGAAATATGAGAATATCCGTTCAAGCAGGTCCATGTGAGACAGAGGAAAAATGACCAGTGAGGCAGCCCGGGGCGAAATAAGGGCTCTCGTATTGTGTTTTCCCCCTGCAGAACTAAAAACAAAAACCTGAGCACTATTGTGAGATGTCATTCTTCTTTTTCTTTCCCACCCTTCCTCCTTCCACCTTTCAGCCTGCACCGAACAACACCAGGGGACATGAATGGAGAAACAGACAGAGAATGAGAGATGGAGACAGAAACGGAGACAAACAACCTCTCCTCTCAAATGACTGATTACCAGCTCCTTCATAACCGATTCTAGGCAGGTGACACATCAGATCAATACGTACTCGTACTATGAAGAACGAAAAAAGATAGATCATTGACAGCAGGGCTCCGGGCTTTTCTGAATGGTTCAACACAGCCAGACAAGGCTGATAATTCAGCTTTTCCCGCAACAACAGAAACACAACGACCAGCGGCACAAATGACCGTCCGACGCTTGCGGAAGGCAGCAAAGCAGCGGCATCATTAAATAAGACCAGGATGCTTCTCCTTGCTAGATAATCAAGGCAACTGTGCGACTGTTAAGGCTGTTATTGTGATTTATGCCACCGCTTCCCCCATTCTGAGCCATTTACTGAGTGAAGCCTCGTGAAGCCTCGAGTCTTAAAAACGTGCAGAGGCCAGGCTAATTTATACATGCACGGTAATTCACAGGAGGGATTAACAAATGGCACTGGGGGCTTACACATTTGGTTGAGGAAAATGTATTACTGTAGCACTACAAACAGCGTTTAGAGCAAATGAAATAAGAGAAACATGCTGGCCTCGGAAAAACAAACAAACAGAAAAACAAGGCATGTTTTTTTTTTCACAACACTGGGGTTTTTCTAAATGCTTTCAGCCAGAAAATCAAAATTGGGTGTTTTATTGGGAATCAGGCGGCTGAAAACATGTGTTTGTCATACAGAGTACGTGTTATACACTGCAGTAGAAGACTATTTCATTGATTATCAACTATTCATGAGCAAAAATCACAATTACAGTTCAGGAAAAAAAAAGTCTCCTTAGGAATTATCTATCAATCAAAACCAGTTAAAATCTTGGATGATCTTCTCAATCAGGACTCTGTGGGTGTGGGTTGATCTGATTTGACTGACAGATCTGGAAACATCAGCAATCAAGCCTCCGTCTGTCGTCAAATGTTGTTAAACTCGGTTCTTACAAAAACATGACATCACTTCTTTCCAGCGGAGCCCTGCGCTCTTCAAACCGCTGTAAAAAGCAATGACAAGAAGAGACAAACAAAAGAAGAATCTGTTGTGAAACAAACCAAAACTGTTGTAGCTCTGACAGAGAAATGTGCTCACGTACGACAACATTGCACATGATACGGGGGGAGAAAAAGAAAGTCTTTAGGTTCTTCAGGATTGACAAACACAGCTGTTGTTTTCTTTGAATAGGATAGTCTGCCAATCTGAAGCAAGGTAAACAAAATGTTGTTTGGTGAAGGCTTGGTTTACAGTTTCATGAAACACCTCTTGTTATTTAAAGCACGTCTGTGAGATCCGGATTATTATCTGGATCTGCACCAAATGGTACAAAGTCACAGATGTCAACACCATTCATAAGTCTGATATTTACATCAAGATCCAAACTTTGTTTCCTGAGGAACTGATGAGCGTGTCAAATAAAAAAATGCCCAATCTCGCAAAGTTTAGGAAAGTGATTCGAAGGTCCTGGATCCAGCCCTTTGACTGGATCAGCACCAATATTTATAGGCCTCTTCCCTGGCACACGCTCCATCCATCCACCAAGTTTGGTGCAAATCGGTTCAGCACTTCTTGCGTAATCCGTCTGACAAACAGACAGACATAAGCATTACCTCCTTGGCTGAGGTAATCATTAACCCGTTCTTTCCACTTGAATTCCCATCTGAACTTCTGGAAAAACCTAATGAACCAAACGAGCTCTGATTGAGGCTGCAGAGCAGTCACTCTAACGATTCATTAGCTAACAATGCTCACACACGTCAGCATGACTCATTAGTATTCAAGAGAGATACCACTGCAAGAGCATACCACTGAGGCCGTCCCGAGCTGTGACGTTTGTGGTTTTTTTTTTTTCTTTCCCCCCCTTTGGAAAAACTTACAGCAGAACATCCTGTGTGTTCCAGCTGGGAGATGAGGCAAAGTCTCTGAATAAAGGGCCTGAGGGTGCAGAAGATTTTCCAGAGGGCCAGAGGACCAAGGTTGGTCCTTATCCGCATAAACAATCCCAACCCCACAGTGACTTCATTATTTCTATTTATGTTTCTGTCACTGCGGAACAGTTTCCCTCCCTGTTCATTAAGACTCTTTACTCTTCCTCTCCAGTGATGAGCTCCCTTGTGTCAGTTTTCCTTTATGTTGCATACAGCTCAGGCACATAAGTTTATTTTAATCAATTCACTGGGGGATAAATCCTGCTGCCGGCTATGAAGACGCTGCAGTGTGTTTCAGGAGGTCACTGGCCAGTTAAACAGCCTGAGGGTAGACACAGTGAAAACTACGAGTACATGACCTTGCCATGAGTGAAAATACTACTGAAGTCTCCAATCTCCTCTCGGTCAGCCAGAAATCCCCTGACCAGGATCAACAACATCTTAGATATTTCTTCAATATCTCACCTATCTCATATACTACTAACGCTGTGTATTCTCTGCACTGGGGAACAATGCAGACATCATGTTCAAATGACAGCATATGACAATATTTACCATGCTCGCAGTCTCGGTTTAAGGTAGGAAAAGAACTGAAAAAACAAGACGTAGCAGGAGCTGAGAAGTCTGTTGTACACATGCACAGACGTGGATTTATTTTACAGGTTTACAAAAGAAGATTTACAACTACAAACTATTTTGTAGAAGTTTTTGTTTTTGTTTTGTTTTGTTTTGTTTTTTTTTTTATCCTTTACACACTCAAAATCTTTTTTATGCTGCGTTGCTCTGGAGATGGCAGTTAGTCGGTCAGTTGTCCAACCACTTTGGTCCAGACTGAAAAACAGAAGATAAAAAAAATTGTGCCGCTAGTTGCCGGGCGACATGTAGATAGCGATATTTCCCCAGTGGCTAAAGGAGCTCAATAGATTTGCCGGTCCAGTCAGAGACACTGAGGGGAAATGACACAAAGTTGAATTATATTCAAAACTTTATAAAAGATTCGGGGCTTTTGGGAAAACAAACTCGCTAAAATCACCTTAACCGCGTCAACGATCTTTATACATGGCGACCAAATAGCTGTAGCTGTATGACATCACAAGCGCTATCGACACGCTGGACCAATCTGAAGTGTTATTGTTATTGTGCTGTTAAAAGAAATGAAAATGAGTCTGTAGCGCTCGTGCAGAAACGTTTTCATCCTCGTTAGATCCCAATCTACCTGAACAGTTAACATGCAGGAAAATTAATGTTTAAAATTCCCCTGAAGGAGGAGACTTTGTTTCACACATTTATTCAAAGCTTCGTTTAGAAGAGATTTCTAAATAAGGCTTTCCAAGGATAATGATGTTAATCAGGCCCCCCTGCTAGAAAAATTCCTCTTCCCACCTATGAATATTTGCAAAGACCATACTGCTAAATTACCATGAAGCAGAATGAATATATTATACAGGCAATTAGATTAACGAGGGCTCCCCCATTTTTTTTTTTTTTTTTTTTTTTTTTAGAGAGTTTACTTTGAAAGTATCATCAAGTACGAGGCTAATTTTTCACATAAGGGAAGACGTTCAAGAGTGAGTCTTTATAAGTCAGTCATTCTTCGTGTTTGACAGCACATACGGTGATTAGAGTCCACATTTCATCTCCTAAAAGCTTCCATAGACATAAATCATTTTTTGCAGATTTTCTCCTCCGACTTAATTAGGTTATTATCGGCTTGTAAAAGAGTGCCATCCTGTTGTTTCACATGTTCCTCTTGTACTTAATAAGGCTTTGCTCAGAACACTCCCACTGACAAGAACAGATGGTGACGTCAACACTTTTACTGAGGTCAGATTAAAAAAAAAAAATAACAGGGAAGTGAATCATATTTAATGTTTTAACAGATGTCAAAGCCTATATGTGATTTAATTTCCATTTCTAGTGTTCTAATTTTTTTTTTCCCCGAGTGTCTTAATACCCAGTGGTGGAGCTTAAGGATGAAGACGACAGTGGGTAAGTAATTTCTTTAGATGACACTAAGTTGAGAGCAGGCTGACTATTTCTCTAAATCTCTGGTCTAACACCAACAACCAACATCATATTTAATGATCTGCTCAGAAAAATCAGCCATGCTCCCAGGAGGAAAAACATCTAGCGCCATCCTCAGGACAAAGATTATAATAAATTATATCATGTGTTTGTTTGTTCCATGCTGTTTTGTTTTGAAAAATTGCAGCAGGCTAAGGGCATGCTAGCAGGAGTATTGACCCTTAGCCCAGGTTTTTTTTAAATTTTTTTTATGGATCTAATTTTTCTGTGGAGCTAATTTGGCTCAGCATTAGCTCAGAGTGGCTGTGAGCTAGCAGTCATATCAGCAGCTGCTGCTCTCTCATTAGTCCCCCCTCAGTTCAGTTTCTGACAGTGAGCTGTTACCTTTGAGCTTCACTTGTTAAAATGCCAGACGGATGTGGGTTAGTATCAGCCAAAGGTCTTGGTGAAAGCTGTAGTTAGTCAGCTCGGGTGTGAGCTTCATCGCAGAGATTGCAGACTAATTGGCTGCTATTCATCCTGCACCATCTTAACAAAAAACAAAAAAAAAAAAAACAACCAACTCAAGTTCACATGTGCACCAGAGAGGACCGGGGGGGGGGGTTAAATTTTCTGTGTGAGTGTGCATTTAATACACATCAGCAAATACGTCAAGCATTACAACCAGTCACGCTGTACTGGCTGCACTGTGTGCCAAGTTTCAGAGGACACTGCCTGGTTTGACTGCTACGGTGCAGCACTGCGAGTGCGACATGAATCTCAATATTTGAAAGAAATTCAGCATCTTTCTTTTGTCTCTCTTATGAGTCAGTTACAAAGGGTGATAGCTGCAGGTCATGTTGGCAATATCGACACAAAATGCTTCATCTTCTCTCTGCACAGCCGCTTTTTTTTTTCTTTTTTTTCTTCCTTTTTTCAGACATAATGATATGAGGTCTGACAGTGTGTGGAAGAAGCTGTGAGCCGTTTAACATGATCTTTCAAAAAATCAGTCACTGGATATAATGTCTCAGTGAACAGCACATACATATTTCATTTCATTTTTGACAAACTGTCAACTTATATTTATTTTTGGGGACTAATTTAAAATAGAGTTGTGCTATTTTTGTTTTTTGTTTACACGAATCAATCAACATTGGGTTAAAAATCTAAAATGACAAAAAACTACACATTAAAACCTCAGTTCATAATTCAAGCGTTAGCGTACTATTTGTTGTTATATTCCAAACCTCCACAATGAAGAAGGAACTATTCTTTTAGTTATCGTTACAGCCGCAGCCGTATTGTGCATATGCTAAGTAGGTTGTGCGGATCCTGCATTGTGATTGGCTACAGCTACTGGCCACAACAAGTCCTCCAACCTGAACAACCAAACAGGTCGTTTTTGTCAACCCTCTGTTACGAGCGATCGCAAGAAAACGTAACTACGGGTCATAATAACCTGCTGCACAAACGACCTGTGGGCTGGTTTTCTCCAGGACAGTCCCTCTGTCCACAGATCAAGCTGAAGACATTTGGAGCTATAGCGTAGGAAGTCCCGGCCGGCCTCGTCACTCAGGGCGGCTGACGTACACCGAGCTCGCCGATGTACCTCACATGGTCTTTGAATTTTGTGAAGCTTGTAGTAGACTTTACGAATTAGAAGTGAGGTACTAGTGGACAATTAGGGGACTGGACCAGGGATGGATAAAGCTCACAGTGACATAGAAATACATAGGAAATTCTTTTGTTAGTTTGAGTGGGAACAGGGCTGATGTTTGGCTGTTTTGTTTTCAGTGCAGAGGAGGTAGAGAGGAGTTCTTCCCATTTTTATTTTTGTTTTAGAGAGTCTGGTTAAAAAAAAAGAAAGAAAAAAAAAGTCTTGTTTATCCAGAATCCTCTTCTTGTTATATTCGGTTTTTTGATTTAGCGGCACCTGTTTGCCCTGTTTCCCCTTTTAGTTACCCTCATTCATTGTTTGTATCAGTATTATTTCTCTCCTTCTTAATGAATAACTTTGCATTACCAATCACATCTGGGTCTATGTTGCTTCCTCTTCTCCCCAAAAACAAGCTGGATTCTACCTGTTATTCATTGTAATTTGCAATTTCTATTGAACCTGACTGTTTTGACACATTTGCAAATTTAATCTAAAAACTGTTAATTTAATTGTTTCGGGGAGTAAAGACATCGAAACCCTCTTAAATTCATTTTATGCTGCATGCTTGTAAGGCAGGGTCATTTTCTAAACAAGCTGGGGCACTGCAGCTTTTATTCAGCATTACTCTAACAGGGGTAAATAGCGTTATTGTCGGGAACTACTTTCAAACGCGGATGAATACACATTTGTCGTGTTAGTGACAGTAACATCTCATAAAGGGCTTAAAGGAGGGAGGTTGTGACCTGGCTTCAACTTGGCTCAGAGTTCCTCATGTTTGATTTCAGCTCTAATTCCTACATTCCAGTGTGCTTTAGATAATGCATTTTTAAATGTGGAGGAACATCAATAATTCAAAACAACACGCAGCACTAGGAAGAATGTTCACCCTCAAATCTTTGCGCTCTTTTAATTTCAACACAAAGAAGAAGAAAAAAAAGATCCCTTTGCTGCAGTGACATGGCAGTGGGCAACTACACACTGTGCTAATTTTGCCTCCTGAGTAGAAAACACACCGAAAAACAATTTAATATCTTGTTAGGGAGCCTTTGACATTATTGGGGCAAACACAATTAAGAATTAATTACACGTGCCAACATGAGGCTATTTCCTTTAGACTTTAAGTCGTTGCACAGGCTGACATAACATCTTGTGGCATTGCATGAAGGATTAAAATAAAAGCGCTGGAATAATTGCATTGACACCAGATACTTCCCACACTTTGTAATGTGTCTGAAAAAGTGAGAGGATATGTTATCTGACACTACGCTGCAATGTCATCAATAAATTGGTCCACCGAGCGCGGCGCATGAAAAACAGTTATCTCATGTGACAGATGGTAAAATCTAATTCTTACTGTCAGTGTTTATGATCTGAGTGTGACCACAAAAATCCTGCAAAAAATAAAAATAAAATAAAATAAAAAACTGCCATAAATAATAATACACCAGCGTCACAGCCCACTCAATATTATCCACTGACCTTGCTGTCTGTTGCACATTTTCAAATTAATAGTTCGACACCTCGGGAAATATACTTATTCACCTTCTTGCCGAGAATTGGGCAAGAAGATTGATACGCTGGGGTTACTCTCATGTTAAATATGGAGCTACAGCCGGGGGGTGATTAGCCACTGGAAGCAGAGGGGGAACAGTTAGCAGTGGTTTGAGCAAAGAAATAGTCCCAAACGGTTCCTGTAAAAAACACAACTTGACGTTTTTACATTTTGGTTTGTTTATGGATGAAAAACAAAGTTATTTGGGGCTCTTTAGAGGTTCTTCGAACAGAGAACAGCTCCTGGTTCTTGTGATGCTAATATCATTTTTGTTTAGATTTATTGTGTACATTACCTCAGGTTTATAAAGAGAATTGGAATAATTGAAATAATGGTAACTACCTTACAGAGACAGTACATATATAATGGACTCTGTTCATTACATTACATTGTTCCCACATTATCCACTTTGCCTGTAAAGTTAGTGGTAGTTAAGATCGGTGGAGGGATACGACTGTAAGGCAGTGAGATGATTTATTACGGCTGTCAGTGTTCAGTTGTCCTACCGTGGAAGTGGACATTGAAGTGGTTCAAGTTCAAGTGGTTGAATGTAGATTGATTCAGTAAGAACTAAGTCCACAGTTAATGCTAAGAGTAACCAGTGTTTACATTAAGCTAGGCTAATCAATTCAAAAGGCTGTAGCTCCATATATTCCACTCCATCCATTCACATGAGGGTGGTATCAATCTTGTCTTGTAACTCTCAAGCACAGAATATTCAACCATAAATTACGGTGGCCTACAAGGTCAAAGGCGCTGCAACGGCTTAAAACACTTCAGGAGAAATGAGCTGCAAATTCAGAAACAATGCAGATTCAGAAACACGATGAAAATACAAAACAAATACGGTGCTGCAAATGAAAAACAACGTGCTGCAGGAAGCCAAAACAAATACAAAAAGAGCAAACACGCTGCAAATAGAGAAACGATGGAAAAACAAACACACAAAACCCCGGACCTACAGCCGGACCTTCTGACCTAAAAAGGTTTGTGTTCTTTTCTACATTTGGCCATAGTTTGTACACTCTTATAAAAGAGCAACAGACAACGTAGCAAGCGTTAGCAACTCGTTTCTCCTTATGGAAATGTTTTGGGCCGTTGCAGCGTGTTGTGTTTGTAGTTGTTGGCGACCGTAATAAATACCCAAGAATAAACCTCAGACATTGTTTCTTCTACATCTGTTCATTTCCCCTCATCCCAAATTGTTGATTTCCTTTCATGACTGACATAAAACAAGAAATAATACAATAATCAATGCTGAAACGAAAGCATCCATGTGGTGACTCACCCCGACTCCGTCCTCATGCCTGTACTGTTTCCAGGTTCGGCCCGTGTCACTGTAGAGCAGCAGGTAACTGCTGACCCAGTCCCAGCTGTCATAACGTCCCTGTGTGGCGACAGCCGTCACCTCCATCTGCTCCCTGAGGTCCACCTGGAGCCAGGGCTCTTGGTCAGTCACCATGGGGGACCAGCCTCCTGCTCCTGAGGAAGAGCAGAGGGGATCCATTAAACATCGGTCCGGTCGATGCACAGTGGATTGTTGTGGTTTGTGCTCAGTCGGCACCGGGCTCAGATTGCAAAAAATGTATGAAGTCCTGATATGTACACAGGGAGTGTTTGTAAAAGGCTTCAAGGTGAAGTTACACTGCAGCTGCCACAGTGGAGGTCCTCACTTCTTGGGGAAAAAACGGCTGTTTCACTTCTGAAATGTTTACAGCATCTACTAATGCACCTGCTGGAAATATGTTGATACTTTCCCCACTTTTCCAAAGATGATTACCTTGTTAGCATTCGCCAACTGTAGCTCTGATCAGGTTTTAATGACATGTGTAGTCTGTCCAAAGCTCATGGGAGCTGTAGTTGTTGAGTGATATTTATTCAGCAGCAGTTCCTTTTTACTTGAGAGGCTACAAGTTGCACCCGAGGAGTGACTGAGCCGATAGAGACAGGAGATGATGACGAGATAGTTTTCTGTGTCAAAGCAATCAGACTGTTCCCTTTCCCTTATTAATAATATGACATTTGGAAATAGCCACGGTAAAGATACTTTTTGGCATCTGTCTTTTATTAGTTCTTTATCGCCTGTAGCTGTTTGATTTGCTTGTGGCAGTTGACTACTCAGACTGATCTGGGGTGGGTCCAAGAGGGGCCAGAACCCTTCGGACAACAACCCTGGACCCCTTTGTGGCCCTGCTATGCAGTCAATTTTCTCTGAGTTTTCTCCCCTTAGTCGCCATGACTCATTTTAAAAGGTCTGAAATTTTACACTTTCCCTGTGTTTTATTTGAAACTTTTTTATCCATAAGAAGATACATTCGTGGTTTTAAGAATCAAAAACTGTCTCAGTATAGTTTTACATCTCCTCTCTCAGGCTTCTCTCTGGAGCTCTAGTAACAACAGGTCGGTGAGCCAATCAGAAGAGAGGAGGCTCTGAGCCTCTCTTCTGATTGGCTGACTGTTTTCTGAGTGAATAAATAATAATATAGCAGATTTCAGGCAAACACTCAGAGAAACCAAATCCTGCAAGGTTTGGATGGTGGGGTCCAGGTGGGCGGGGCTTGGTGACTGCTTTGTTGTGACATCACAAAGTTCCAGAAGTCCTGACGGCTGGTTTTAAGGCTCAGTTTCTGAATACAGGCTGTGTGCATTTCTCTGTGGACTGAGGCTTCGATACTTTCACAGTTTTAATATAGAACCTAGACCTGATCTATAATCACACTACACATGAACAGAGACCTTTATTCAATATGGGGCCTTTAATAAATACATGAAATCAATTTTTTTGCTTTGTAACAGTTGCTGTATTTATATAGCGTTTTGAAATGTAGTTGGAAACATATTTTCTTTCAGTCTGTGGGCAAACAGACAGCCATCTCTTCCTCATCTCTTTGAAACAGTGGAACAGTGTCCATCTGAGCTGCAGCCTGCGGCAAATGCAGCAAGTCCTCATACTTCACAGCTCATTTGTCATCGCCTTCAAAAACAATGACCATATGACCATTACGAAAATGGTTCAGATGAGCGCTCTCTGGTCTGCTGCCTCTCTTGTTAATGTTCATTAGTAACCGCTGGTACAGCAGATGGGTGGCGCACAACTGAAGCATTTAGAAATACTGAAATCCATGCAGCAGTACTGTCTGTTGTACTCACCATCTCTTCTGTTGAGCTTGGCATTGTAGGCAGCGTAACTGACCGAGGACTGAGAGGAGCTCTGAAAGGACGAATGGGGTAACGCTGATACAAGAGGACCATTGCAAGTATCTGTGAGAGAAAAACAAAAGGAAAAAATTCAGATGCCATTTAAATCATGTTCCATATAGTTCATATGATATATTTCAAATGCAAATCTGACAACATAAAGGGATGGTTCTGAAGAGATCTCGCCGCTCGCCACGCTCTGATTTATTCAGATGACAGTAATAATAGAAAATGAATCCTGGCGTAGTTAAACATGTTGGTTCAAAGTGCACCTTTACTTGTCGGCGGAGGAGTTTTAAAGCAAGAACTGGAGGAAAATAACAGGGCTGCCTCACTTATCCAGTTCTCAGATGCCTCAAACAGTCTATTAACCCATGCAGTGACCCTTGAAAACCACACAGAAAAACGCCATGACTGCTTTTGTGTGTATGTGTGCGTTCTTTTTAATCCTGCAGTGTGAGATTACATCACGTCCAACAGGCAGGAGCAGATTAAGAGTCCAGTGATCTAAAGCCGTCAGCCTCATCTTCTTCTGACCGGCCCTGCCTGCCATAAAAGTAGTGAATCACACAAAAACATCCTCTTCTGCTTTTGTGGCTGCACTTGAGTCCAAAGCTGCATTAAGGCCTGTATCTGGGAACGTAATGAAAACTGGCACCAGCCTGATTACAATTATCCCTGTACTCTCTTCCATCAGCGTGCAGTTCGCTCTTTCGAGTGTGAGAGGCTTTTTGTTTTTGGATGCCATTCTAGTTTGAGTTCAGATGGATTCTGAGCACATCTGGAGTGGCAATTGGCCATCCATCTGGCCGACAAGAGCACAGCAGAACTGACAGCATGAGCTCGTTCTCCTTTTGGGCGTCCCTGTGAATTTCGACTGACCTGATTTGACTGCTCTCAGATCGCTTGCCAAGAGATTCTTCTAATCCTGATTTCAAGTGTGACTAAAGTGGATCAAGCTGTTTTGTCCAAGACTCAAATTATGGCTGAGCTGCAGTGCAGTTGCAGATGTTCATTGGGGAAATGAGAACGTTGGCATGGCATCTTAACGCACCACTACAAGAACTGGGGTTATTATGCAAGCACAGCACTTTTAATCTGTCAAAAGTCTTCCAGATCCTACTTCTGATCCTTTAGGGATCAAAAGTAGGATCACTCTTCTCATCTGCCTTTCAATCTGTATCCATCCATCCTTTCTTGAACGATTCATCTCTAGCTGAAGAGCTGACAAACCTCTCTGATGTGAGCTTACACCTCAAAAGCGTCTTCAATTGCTTTGCTTCTACGCTCGACACCACCGTATACAACAAATGAGACCCTGACATCTTAGAAAAAAAACAAAACAAAAACAAGGCTAAACAAACCAACAATCTTTTTGACAGTGTAACACATGTTCTCAAATTGACAGGCGAACCATGCATCTCTGGCAGGTGTGTGAGTAGAGAAAAAGTTTATCCATGTGCAAAATGTGCATCTTACAGACTGTGTTGTTGTTTACAGTCTCGGTCTGGAGCCAAGCGCCCCGGCTGTCAGTCAGGAAGGCTCATTTGTCTGCAAAGTCTCATGGGCTTGAAACTAATAGCCAAATGAACCCCGGACGCGCATCCGAACACACGTACATGACTGCTAGCTGAGAGGGATCATTAATCTCTCTTGAAATCATACGTTAAGTACATCTTGACTGCACATCCAACTGCTAGGATGATGTTTGTTTTTTTTTTCCCAGAGCAACAGAAGTGGCGTGTTGACACTTCTCTTATCCCACAAAAAGACCCAAATCAACAATGTGTTTGTCAGTTTGTCATATCATTATCACTTTCTGACATCCCCTACACTCTTTGCGGCCCTCAGCTGATTGGTTCCTCCTGAAGAGGTGAGGTGAAGTAATTTCCAAACACAGCTGGGCACTTTAGTTTTTTAGCAAATGTTACTTTGACAAGAGTAAGTAGTGTGTTTGTTGTGGACTATTTTCAGCTGCTGATTTATAGACATTTGGTGCTCTAGTGAGTATTTACAGCACTAGAACCAGGGTTCGAATTATGGGGGGGGGGTTGGGGGAATCTGATCCCGCTGATTAATTTGGACACCCCTGCCAAAAGAGGTAAAAACAACAGTTCATGGGGTTGAAACGTTTATATATCCTTCTTATCTGTAATCATAATATTACAATATATTTCATATATTCGTGCCTGGAAGAATCTTTTACTACGATTCCTCTGCTGCAGGTAACGCAGCTGAGAGGAGGGTGGGGGCTTTCTCAGGCTGTAGTTATAATTTTACAGATATTTGTGGCAAATGAAGCTGCAGTCTGCACACAGAAAACTTTCCTTTTAGCTTGTTCATGACAGTTCACTATTAGCTTAACGCTTAGCGCTTGTGTAAAACTTACTTTACTGTAACTGTAACTTACAGCAAATGTTAGAAATATTACGTTACAGATTAGCTAACGTTAGCTAGTTTCTAACTTTAGCCTTAAATTACACTTAAGATAGCTTATGTTTGCTAGTTTCTAATTTACGCCTTAAGTTACAGTTTAGCTAATGTTATCTAGTTTCTAACTTTAGCCTTAAGTTACAGTTTAGCTAACTAATGTTAGCTAGCTGATAGTGCGCCCTTTCATTCCTAGTGTTAGCTTGGCATTTCATTACCAATATAAAATAACATATGATCTAATTTTATTAAATACTGGTGCTCAGTGATGAGCAGTGAGATGATAGAGGATTAGTTGTTGTAGAGACACGTTTTAACATCAATATGGAGTTTAGTATTTAATATTAATAGTCTTTTGCATGGCTGTGGTGATTTAGCTAGTCTTTTGCCTTTTGGATATTAGCCTTTTAAGTAGCACCCCTCTGTTTTCACTCAGGAATTCAGTAGTTTTACGTGGTTGGGTAATAGAACAATTTTAAAATACATCTGTACTGAAGGGTGAGTACTTATATCAGCAGTGGTGGAAAGTATTTAAGTACATTTACTGTAAGTACTGTACTTAAGTACAATTTTGAGGTACTTGGGTATTTCCATTTTATGCCACTTTAAACTTCAACTACATTTCAGAGGGAAATATTGTACTCTTATATTCTTTCTACTTCACTATATTTATTTGACAGTTTTTGTTAAACAAACAACATACTGTGTGGTGGACCAAGTGAAAATAAACTACAGTGTCTGTATTTACTATAAAGACAGACAACACTGGAGTCCTTTGACACAGAGGAAGCTACAGCACATCACACTTGGTTACACATACAGTAGCCTACCTGTGTGTAGGATCAATTCTTTGTTAGCTTTGGTCTTTTCACAGGATTTATTGGCAATAAAAAACACAGAATATTGCCAGCCTTATCCTTTAATGCTTTATTTTTTCCAATATCCTTGCACTATTTACTATCCTTTCATTTTGAAAAATAAAAGATGTCCTCCTCTTAACCATTCATCCTGCTAAATGAATGACTGCACACAGGTGTAGATTCAGGATGAGCTTTTCTCTCTGCGTTTTGTCCTCTTAGATGTTCATCATTTAATCAAAATGGTAGATGTATTCACACAAATAGGTCTTTTGAATTCAAGAACATCACCTTCTAAAGAGTGAAACATAAAACGCTGCCTGGCTACAGGTTTTGCTTTAAGGTGAGATAACATGAGGTCCTCGAAACCACCCACCCCTCGTCAGCTACACATCACATTCAGTGGAATCGACTGAGCCATACTGTATATGCAGCCCTTTTTCCCCCCAATGCTCTCCTTTGCTCATTAGCAAGCCCACCTTAACCTGAGTGCACAAAACAGATGCTGCTCCACAAAGAAATCAATTATCACAACAAAGTGCCTTTTGTACCACACATGGGATGGATATTTTAAGCTCTGGTAGCAGAGGCATTATTGCACCTGAAGATGACTACACGCCCCAAATCAAATAAACATGGCTCACCAGATATGAGGAAGCCTGAGTTTCCTCATGGATATCGAGTCTCAGGAAATGTATAAACAGTTGGATATGAAAAAATGCCAAAGGGATTTTCGTAAAAATAGAACATGCAACAGAGATAGGCGAAGGGTAGAGCCGTGTGGAGCAGGGTTCTCAATCTGACCTGATCCTCTTCACTGGGTGGATCAAACCCATGTAATTAAAAAATAGTTAGAGTGCAACTCACATACATGGCTTAAAGGGGCATTTGGTGCTCCCCACATCTGACTGAGCTCTCCCACAGACCAACTGTGACAAGGACTTCAAGACATTTCAGAGGGAAATATTGTACAGTTTACTCCAGTCAACGTATCTGGAGAGCAGACGGCTGGAGCTACTGGTGACTTTGTAAATTCTATGTAATTTATAAAACAAAATATATAATTTATATGTTTATTACAATCAAAATATATTTAAAAAATAGATGTGTTTTGATTGATTAGCTATACTACACACAAAAGCATCAACATATGTAGTTTTAGGTAATGTAATGGGGAGTTTGGCCTGAGGTCAGAGTAGGTAATTACTGCAGGAAATTAATTACATAGCAGCACATCAAAAGGACACAGCCGAGGCTACTACTAGTCGACAGAATGAAAATACTCATGCATAAAATGCACGTTGACCACCCAAGTAACACTCATCCATATGCGTCACATCCAAACAGCTGCAACACCATTTCAACCAAACAATGACACCATCACATCCGCTGTAGAAAGCACCACATGAGTCAGCCCAGCGATAATAATATCCAACATCACTGCATTAAAATATGACAACACAGACACAGCTGAAGGAATGACAATAAGAAAGACAATAATTCAACCTTAGCTTTGGATGTTAAGTTAAACTTGTTTTAATGCTGCACACTTCTTTATCGTTAGAGAAACAGAGGTCACAAGAGTTCAACAGTCAAGCTCAACCAATCAGGACTCATTTAAATATGATATTTACACCTTTTAAATATGATACTTAAACCTTTAAATATGATATTTATACCTTTTAAATATGATACTTAAACCTTTAAATATGATATGAAACCTTATGCTGTATGTTTGTTTGTCAGAGAGAGAGAGAGAGAGAGAACAGGATTTTT